GTTCAGGCAGTAAATGTCCTCCTGGATAATATCCAAAGCATAGAGCGAGCTGTAGAGTTTGCTTTCCGTGTTGAGGAAGATGCTGTGTGGAGCCAGGTTGCAAAAGCTCAATTGCGGGAAGGGTTAGTAAGTGATGCAATTGAATCATTCATTCGTGCTGATGATGAAACCCAGTTCCTCAATGTTATTCGGGCTGCTGAAGATGCTAATGTATATCATGACCTGGTGAAGTACTTGTTGATGGTGAGGCAGAAAGTTAAAGAGCCGAAAGTGGATGGTGAACTGATATTTGCATATGCTAAGATTGATAGGCTAGGTGAAATTGAGGAGTTCATTCTCATGCCAAATGTTGCTAATCTTCAAAATGTTGGCGACCGTTTATTTGATGATGCTCTTTACGAAGCTGCTAAGATTATATTTGCTTTTATTTCAAACTGGGCAAAACTGGCTTGTACACTCGTTAAGCTGAAGCAGTTCCAGGGTGCTGTTGATGCAGCTCGCAAAGCAAATAGCTCAAAGACATGGAAGGAAGTTTGTTTTGCTTGTGTTGATGCTGAGGAGTTCCGCTTGGCACAAATATGTGGTCTGAATATTATTATCCAGGTAATGCTTTTATCATATGAAGGAACAATTTCCGTATCTATTGTTTTTACTAGGCCATTTAGAATGCTGCATATTCTGGTTTTAATTGTATGTTATCTGTTGACTTTTAGGTGGATGACCTGGAAGAGGTTAGTGATTACTATCAGAACAGAGGTTGCTTCAATGAGTTAATCTCTCTCATGGAGAGTGGCCTTGGCTTGGAACGTGCACACATGGGCATCTTTACAGAGTTGGGGGTCCTATATGCTAGATACAGATCAGAGAAACTTATGGAGCACATTAAACTTTTCTCAACCCGCTTGAACATTCCCAAGCTTATTCGTGTTTGTGATGAGCAACAACATTGGAAAGAACTAACCTACTTATATATACAGTATGATGAATTTGACAATGCTGCCACAACTATCATGAACCATTCTCCAGATGCATGGGATCATATGCAGTTCAAAGATGTTGTAGTCAAAGTTGCAAATGTGGAGCTCTATTACAAGGCTGTTCATTTCTACTTACAAGAACATCCTGACCTCATCAATGATGTTTTACATGTGCTTGCACTTCGTGTGGACCACACACGTGTAGTAGATATCATGAGAAAGGTGAAAAATTGTTCTTACAAATTTTTATGTGAGTTCACCATATTTTTTTAGTTCTATCATGAAAAAAGCAAACAAGGTGGTTTTGTTTTTACTGGAAATGCAGTTTTTCTGTTTGTATAAGGTTAGATGTGTTTCGGTCTAACACTTTCTTGCTTCAGGCTGGTTACTTGCATCTAGTGAAGCCATATATGGTTGCAGTTCAAAGTAACAACGTAGCTGCTGTTAATGAAGCACTAAATGAAATTTATGTTGAGGAGGAAGACTATGATAGATTGCGTGAATCAGTTGATTTGCACGATAACTTTGATCAGATAGGCCTTGCACAGAGGGTAAAGTTGTTATAGATATTATTTAATTAAATAGTTATGGATATTCTCCTTATGAGTGTCTTGTTTCGTTAGATTGAAAAACACGAGCTTCTTGAGATGCGGAGGATTGCTGCATATATCTATAAGAAAGCTGGGAGATGGAAGCAGTCCATTGCACTATCCAAGAAGGACAACCTTTACAAAGATGCAATGGAGACGTGTTCGCAGTCTGGTGACCGTGAACTTTCAGAAGAATTGCTTGTTTATTTTATCGAACAGGTAAAGGTCTTGATGTGTCATACTGATTACTTATAAATACCTGTTTTCAGGTAGAAATCTCTGAAGAATAGTTTGATATTTGAAAAAATGGTTGCAAACTAGTAATGATACCATATTTTTTATCTTTTGAGTTATCCTGGAAAAGGAACTTAGGTTTTTTTTTTTTCTATATGCTTCTTACTTCATATAAAATGCTTCAGTGGTTCAACTTTTTTTTTTTTCCCCTTTTATGCTTGGTTTGGAAGTATGAATCAATTGTTGTAACTTATGCTTTGCATTAAATCATGATAGATGTATATTTATTTGTGCTAATCAATTCATAAAGCTAGTGCATAATATCCGATCTTTAGTGGTTAAGAATCTTAAGCTATTGTGTAATGTTGTGAAATTGTGTCTTGGTTATTGGAAGTGATATATGAAATTATTATGTTAAGCATCACAAAGTGACAGTTGATAACTTTTGATGATTGAGTTTCAAAATTCAACAACAATAATAGATCCCAAAATGGGTGTGGTACTCTGTTCCGATCACTGAACCTGTGACATACGTTTTTCATTATCTTGTCTAGAGTGGCATCAAATAATTTTGAGTGACAACACACTAAAATTGTACAGAAAACTTAATGTTTGTATCATGCAGCAAACTATGAAAATCATGTAGATGCTGAATGATTTGTTGCCAACTAAGCTGTATCTTGTTCTATGATTCCTTAGATGCTATTAACTCTAAACAATAATTCCTCATGTATATCTGATACAGCATAAGGTGAACCAATAGATGACATGTGTGGATAGTTGTAAAGGTGATATGAGCAAGATTATAGGCTATAAATAATTAAAATAATACATGGATTTTATTTCTATAGATTGCCATAATGTTTTTCACCTTCAGGCAGCTTTTAGACAGTTTGCATTTGCAAAATTCAAAGGAAACAAAATTTGATCAGGCCAATTTTCGTACGACCCCTCAATGTAGTATTTATTAAGAGTCAATCTGTTCATGCCTTAACTACCAGAGTTAAATTTAATGAATTTATGGGATACGCATTGCAGGGAAAGAAGGAATGCTTTGCATCGTGTCTCTTCATTTGTTATGACTTGATCCGTCCTGATGTTGCCCTTGAACTTGCCTGGATGAACAATATAATTGACTTTGCATTCCCATACCTCTTGCAGGTGCCGTCGTATTTCTTTGTGATTTCAGTTTTTTTTTTGTTTTGTTGATTATGATTATTATTAAAAAATATACTCCTGTAAATGCTGTGTTTGTGCAGTTTATTCGTGAGTACACTAGCAAAGTTGATGAGCTTGTAAAAGATAGAATTGAAGCACAGAATGAAGTGAAAACCAAAGAAAAGGAAGAAAAGGATTTGGTTTCACAGCAGGTATATAGATTCTCTGCAGTTATTCCAGGATGTGTAAATTTTCCTGTTCCATAACAATAAAAATGTTGCGACTTTTTTTTTGTTTGTCTGTAGAATATGTATGCACAGTTGCTGCCTCTTGCTTTACCAGCTCCGCCTGGTATGGGAGCGCCAAACATGGGTGGACCTTATGCAGTTCCTCCACCAATGCCTGGCATGGGAATGCCTCCGATGGCACCATTTGGAATGCCTCCAATGGGAAGTTACTGAGAAATTTTGTTATTGGGACAACATGCAATGCTTGTTCTTAATGTGCAACGGTTCAAATCGATTGGAGACTCCAGTCTTGTTGATGCTGATATGTTATACATTTCATATTCTTTTGCTAGCAGTGATTGATTGCCACTGAGGCCAGAGCCTAGGGCTTTTGTATGGTCTCCGTACTGTGTGAGAGTGGTGCTTATGATGTATAGGGTCATTTAGTGTTGAGCAAAACAACTACTGTTGTTCTTTTAAAAAAAAAATAGTTAAAATGACCTGATTAGATATTGTAAGTTAAAATGCCCTCCTCCAATGATTGGAGGAGGGGGGTAGAGCAGCGTGGGGATATCGTGTGCGTCTCATCAAGGTCAAGGTCTCATCCCATGGCACTTCCAACTTTTATCCTGCTGTTACAACTATTATTTTTCTTGCTATTGTTGATTACTTACATGTGGATTTTACTAAGCGCAAGGAACTCTTTGGGTATCTGCTGCCAATGGAGAATCTTTGTCTGCAATGGTACATTCTTTGGTACTTTCCAGTTTTCTTTCTTAAATATTTTAGGTGCTTACTTTGATAAGCTTCCTTATTTTATAGTAAATCACTTGCATCTATCCATGTACCGACAGAACTTCACATTCATGTTTTATTCAAGTCTACTGAATCCCTTAGGCTGGCATCGAATTCCATCTTCATCACATGTTTATATGTCATCCTAATTCGATGAATCTTTTCATCACATGGCATTTAAATTTCTAGTTGTAGGGAGAAACGTGGGTTCTATCTTTTTCCTTTAGCCCGTTAAGTGAAAAAAATGGAATAAAGTTATGTGTGATTAATGAATTGCCGCAAGGAATGGCAATTCATACATGACTTGATGAGGAGGTAGACAATTCAGAACTTTGACTTGGGTGGAGCTTACAACCTTCATCGATCGATGGTATCAATCATCACTACCTTACAACCTGATCTGATTCCGTCTATTCCTTTTATGATTTATGGTTCTTATTAGTTCCAAGTGTCTAGGTTACAATATGATCTGATTCCATCTATCCCCTCATGCGATGTATGAATTGCCAGCTGCCCTTTGTCAACATCATGATACCTTTGAGGTGCTCGAGTAGTTCCATCACGTTTGCCTGCCACAAAAGAGTTGCAAGGCTTGTGTGGTTGATTGATACCATCAATCAATGAAGGTTGATTGATAATACCACAAAAGAGTTCCAAGTTTTGAATTCTCTATCCCTTCATCGTGTGTGATGTATGAATTGCCTGCTGCCCTTCGTCAACACCATGATACCTTCAAGCATGACGCCACACAACAATGGAGGAGCGGATGATCCCTGTTTTCCATGTGTCTAGGTTACAAGTGCAGAACATTGACTGCAAAATTGTATATAAAAACCATCTGTAATCATTTTGAAGACCTTTGAAGACAAACTTTAATTCCCTAACAAATAATTGGAATCTTAATTTCGTCCTCGGTTGTCCATCCTGCCACTTCAACGAATTTGCTAAACTGAGCAAGAAATTACATTGATAATAACTAAAATTAATAAAACAAATCAGACTACAAATTGTGATGGAAATTTTATGCCAAAATTATGTTTGAGGACTAAGTTTTTATCATGTGCACTGAGAAAATGATAGTAATATCTACATTTTTCAGACTTTTAGGCTTCACAATATCTCCTCTATTTCCTACTTTCTCCCAACAAACAGAACTAGAACATAAGGTCACATGCTCTTTATCAGAAAAAGAAAACATGCTCTGTATCAAACCATGCACTTTACATCCCCACTGTCATAGTAGGATAATGCTTGTACAAGAGAACAAAAGTAAAGAAAATTGCTATTTAGCCTTTGCCAACTCCCATCTCCAGCTATTCTACTGAGAAATAATTTCGAGTTCTGCCCACCACAATGGTGATAATCTTGGAGAAGCTTCCTCCGATTGAATAGCTGTAATCATCCTCATTCGTCCAGCAACTTGGGCCATCGTTGGGCGCTTCTCTGGTGCTGCATCTATGCAGGACACTATCACATCAGCAAGTTCAGTAATATCTTCCTCTCGGACTGAATTGAGAGTCCGGTCGACCATGTCCATCAAGGGCCTTTTCCTGTTCAAATAGCTCGAAGCCCAGAGCACAAGCAGGCCGTCATCTTCGGAGAAGGGAAGCCTTCCAGAGATAATTTCCAGTAGAAGAATCCCATACTTGTAAACAATACTCTCCGGGTTTGAGCTTTCAGATTCTGCCCCTGCTTCCTTATCCTCGTTCCAGAATTCGAGATGTGAAATCTTAGCTGCATAGTCTTCAGTTAGATAGATGGATGAAGAGCTAAGGTTTCCAAGAACAAGAGGAGGATTGAGCTGCTCCATGTGCTCTAGACAATAAGCTATCCCCATGGTTATGCGCATCCGTGCAGGCCAATCCAACTGTTCTGCTTCTTTGACTGTAAAAATTTGCCAGTTCCAATTCAATTAGAAGGGGGAGAAAAAAAGACACATCAAAGAACTCCAAGGAACCAGGTTAACAGAGGCTCAAAAATTTATGATTGCTACAAAAATTACTATATAAATTTCTTGTTTAAGAATCATCACATTCTCAATCCACGGACCTTTATTACCTTTCTAAGGATTCTCCTATCATGCATGTAGTACAGAGTTTATCATCCCAAAGTTTATACAACATTGTATGATACTACTTTAAGTTGATTGGTAATTTTCATCATTAATTCCATTCAAATCGGTAAACTTAGATACTCACTGTGCAAATGTTCAAAAAGTGTCCCGTTTGGAGCATATTCAAACACCATCATCCTAGTAAAAGGTTCTTCTTCCTCACAATAGCCAAGGAGGTTCATGAAGTTCTTGTGATTCACTTTGGACAATGTAGAGATCTGGAAACAAAAATCAACATCACACGACTGAGACCATGTACCAAGCAAAGCAACTGTCAGCAGGAATGTAAGGATTCCAGCATACATACCTGATTCTTGAAATGAGCTTCATATTCTTCTGACCATTCTACAGCTGACGTAACAATAGTAGATGTCACCGCTATTTCAACTCCACTTGAAAGTGTTCCTTTGTACAATGAGCAATTAGATAAAGAACCAATTATGTTGCTGAACTGCTCACATGCTGTTTCAAGTTCCAATCGTCGCAGCGACGGCACACCTGCTATCGATGCATGTAATCATGAGTGCCAAAAATCACTTTCAAGAAATGTTTATAACATCAAAAGGTAAACTTACCTGTAACAAATGCTTTCTGCAATTGCCCACTCAAGCCAGTAGTCCAAGGCATTATGGTGACAGACTTTTGGGTTAGATAACGAAGGACATATGCAGCAGATAAAGCAACAACAATAAGCAGAACTCCAACTATCAGAAAAATAACCCATTTTTTGGAAGGTACTTCATGGGTTTCTGGTATTTCTCCGGTTGCAGATGGTGAAGGCACAGCTGAGGGGCTGCTGCTTTTAGTGTTACTTGGAGAAGTTGATGAAGGTGATGGTGATGGTGCCTGATTACTGTTTAAATTTAAATCATTTTGACGACCAGGTGGTGGTGGTAGACCATTGGCATCTGAAGGTGATGGATTGCCATTGATTTGGATAAGTCTCCTGATGGTTGCATTTTCAACTTTCCTATAACAAATAAAGTGAAATTTCATAAAGCCTGTATATAAAGGCAAATTATAGCAAAACCTTTCTCAAATTCAGCTTGATTTTAACACAACCTCATTCTTTATGCAGAAATAATAACAAAAACAATTTTCTCTCCAGCTTCTATAACATGATAACTGGCTACAATTAAGAGGCTTCCAAAGACTATAACATCAAATCACCATTGAATAGAAAAGACATCAGATGATGAAGTCCTATTTTAGGAATCCTTTTACACCATTTCGGTTGTATCTAAGGACGAAAGGAGCTACCATTGTCCTTTTCTCACTGCTTGGTCCAGGTCTTGTTTGGTTAAACTCTTCCCTTGTCAGACTCCCAACCGAAACTAACTTGAGATATCCTGCCTGTATTCTGAGCTATACCAATATTTTACTTCTATGAATCTTATTGGTGCTATCTCGAACTTTCTATCAACACAACCATTCTAACTTCATCTACCTAGTAAAGTTGTTCATCCATCTCAAGATTCTCATCTTAAGTACATCGATTTTTTAGTCAAGAATTGCTATATCAGACATGCCGATTCATTGCTAGCCAACTCCATGCACTAATACACACTGGCGCCAAGATGAAATTAACTACAAAAGGTCAAAGTTATAAACATTTTCTTTTCTAATTTCTTGCCTTTTTCATCATGTCAACCGCTCAGCTAAAACCAATCATCTCTTACACCATGTACAAGATGTGTATGTCAGATATTGCAAATGCTGATAGAAAATACCATGAACGAGCAACGAAATTCTTGTCACCTGTTTATACTGGCATTGACAAAGAAACTCTAAAAAATATGACATAGAAGATGGCCTGATTTCAGCAACTATTTATACAAGGTCTAAAGCCTTGTGGAGCATGCTTTAATTCTCAATAAGTGCAGTAACTACATGAACTCAGCTAGAAATCAGGTGTATGAGAGTATTAGAATTTCTTGAGTAAGTTTCAGATATCCGAAACTTCTGATGGACTCAGAAAAGTGTATTGCCTTCTAGGAATACATTAGATTAGTCGAGAAGGAATATCATTATTTGGTCCTAAGAAATTGGGGAAAGTTATAGTTCTGAAACAGTCACTGATTAGGAGTATCATGGTCATTATTAATTTCAAAACTCACCTACAGATGATGCATTGCAGAATCCTGATAAATAAGATATATTAGACCACCTAATACCACAAAATCAACAATGGTTTTGTGTGTAATCATGGCTCCTAGAATGCAATCTCCATTGATGGGCATTTCAGAAATTGGAGAATAATTCATTAGCCAATGGCCAAACAATTTGAAGATATAGCCAGCACATATGGGCATCAGGGACCCCACTATATAAGATAAACAACTTGCTCTTGAATGACAAGGGCTGAAGTTAATTATCATTTTCAATTGTCAGGTAAAATGAGAGTCATGCCAAATTAGCTGCAGCATGTTGGCATTATTCAGTCAACAAAAATATGTGCTAAGGCATTATCAAAATTATGCCTGTTCGGTAGCAACCATAAAACAATGACTTAATATGACAATTAGAAGAATTTAAAGATTTTCTTTGCCATAAAAAAAGTATTAAATTTCTGTGGTTGAGCATCCTTACCTTTTAACAAGTTGCCTGTTTGATGATAGCAGCTCTTCATCATTGGGATCATATAGTTCTGGTGATTGGCTATAAGCAAATCTGTTGTTTCTGAGTACACTGCAAGTTTACCATGATAATGAGGGAAATATCACTATAGGGAATCGAAAATTTACATGAAAATTATTCTATTTCTTGTACTTACAGGACTTGTAGGGACAAAATATTTTCAAGTTCAGACGGCAGTGGTCCACTGAGGTTATTGCACCCCAAGTCCAACAACTCCAGCTTCTGTAATCTCCCAATCTCCCCAGGAATGACTCCAGAAAAGGAATTATTATGCAAAAAGCTACATGATAATAGATGTGTAAGAACAACACTGAAAAGAAATGAAATATCATAACATCATCATCTTAACTTAAGGGGAAATTTTAATTTATTACTAATAAATTGGGTCTATGTATTTTTGGAAAAGTTGATTCCTTATAAATTATTGGACTAGTAGGCTAATTGAGTCATGCTAAAATGCATTAGAGAAACCTTTATACCTCATGAACATTAAAGAAGTGTACCTTGGGATAGTCATGCCCTGAAGAGAGCAATAGGATTAAGCTATTAAATAGGAGAAATTGTGACGCTCCAATTAGGAATATATTGATGGATAGGATGTCTCACTCGACAAGCTTAACACTGCTAGGTTCTTTGCCAAAGCTCACCCTCCTTGGAACCCTATAGCTCACTAGTTAAATAATGGCCTAAAATTACTCATTTGAGACACAGAAGTAATTTTTCAATATATAATGGTAAAGCTGCATATACTGACCCTCCTAGATCCTGCATTGACGAAAATCTCATGCATTGGGATTTCCTATTTTTTTTAGATATAATATTCCAAGACAAAAAAGCATTAAATTCCGAGTCACATTGATGTTCGACAAGAAATAATCGGGAAAATTATCTCAAAGGTTATGGAGAGAAATAAAAAGGAAGAGATAAAAATTGCATGGACAATCTACGGGCGAGAAAGTTCTGTGAAACACTTACATAGATTTGACGTCGATTAGTTTCCCGATATCAGGCGTGAGTGTCCCTTTAAGACAAAGATCATTCAGCTTCCTACAAGAATAATACTTTCTTCAGAATACATCAAGCTAAATGACCAATTACAAATTACAACAAAAGAATCTAAAAGAAATCAAGGCGGCAGTGTTAATAAAAATAAGATCATTGCAACCATTAGTCCTCGGATCAGATGACATCAAGTATATTTGTGGCAAGATGAAAAGTGTCAAAGATCACTATTAAGTTATCCAGTTGGCCTTATGAATGAACAATCACACGATAAGAACTAGTGATCTAATGGCTACACAAGTCCAGAATGAACTTAAGGTGTGGATTTAATACAAATCCGCCCCCATGGGATCAACAAAATTGAGGAAAAAAGATGTATTGCATACGAAATAGCATCAATTGACAGTTAAAAGAGAGGGGTTTTCTTTCAACACATTTCGATCACTTACAAGACCACGACTTTTCCATCATCGGAGCACTCCACGCCAAACCACAAGCAAGGATTGTCAGCGGCCTCGTCCCAATTCGACAGAGCACCATAGGGATCGAACTCTACCCTCTCTTTGAACGCCAAAAGAGCCCTCCCTACACGAACCAAGGATCAACACATTGATCGAAATAATTCGTAACCAAGCCCCAGCCCATCCATCGGTCGACCTCAGAACCAAATCACCAGTAAAGATACATACCTTCTTCGTTAAGAGACGCGCCTGACGCCAAAGGAACCCACAGCAAGATCACGCAGAGCATCCACTTGTCCATCTTCCTTCACCAAACCAACCCTACCGACTCTCCCAACCAGATTCAGGAATCAATAACGAGAAACAACAAAAGACAGGAAGAACTCCCGCCGAAAGATCACTTCTTTATCTTCCTCTCCACCGGATACCAACCCGAACACTTCTCTTCCCGATCAGAATCCAAGAATTGCCGCTGAGAACAAGCAAGAAACCAAGTCAACGAAGGGGAAAGGGGATGACTTCGGAGGCGTATAAGGGGAAGGCGAGGCGGCACGCGGAATTCGAGCAGCGGTGGCGACGACGACGAAATGTTCTCTACATATTCCGCTTTGGAAATAAGTCAGCAAAAGGTTTGATTGGTTCCTCTCATCACTGAACGAATTATAGTTGACGGAGCCGTCCGCTGTGCCATCTCATTTAACGGTCGGTAAGCTTCTGGGAAATGACGGAGTTGAACGTACTCGGTCAGTCTTACATATGGCCTTTATTTTATTTTAGTTTATATAATTATGATATCCATTTCCAAGCTACAATTTTTGATTGGTTATGTGATGGATGGCGAGATGATGACTAGTTTCCATTCGATTTTATTTTCTCATATAAATAAATATATGAGCGAATTTCTAAAAAAGATATATATTTTTATTTATTTATCTCGAAATACATTCTTATTTTGAGAATTTTTATTTTTTTTTCTTTTATATCTGAAATACTCTCAATCGTCTAATTTTTTTCTTTTTCATTTATAATATTTTTATATTATCTTATAATATTTTTTAGTGTTATTAAAAATAAACTTTATAAAAATATTATATTATATTATATTATTTCTATGATATTACTTAAAAATATTATAATTAGACCGATTCTCCTTATAGATAAGAATGATAATATAGTGTTCAAAGTATTATATTTAAAAAGGAATGTTGTTTGAAAATTCTGAAAATAGATGTTTGGCAGAGGAAACCTAAAGAGAAATTTTTGTTTTCATGAATTCGCCTTAAATATATACGATAAATAAATAATAATAACTAAGATGGAGCCTAATGGGTATCAAGTTGAAATCGAAGAAAATAAAGAAACTAAGTATCAAGTTAGAAAGAGAAAATTATATTTTTTTATTTCTGAGGAAATCTTCCTTTCATAGTATTGACACCATAACGATTAAATTATTAGGAGTATAAAAAAACTAAGTATCGAGTTAGAAAGAAAAAAAAAATTATTCTTTTATTTGTGAGGAAATCTTCCTTTTAGAGTTCCCGCACCCTATCGATCGAATTATTAGGAAATATTTTTTGAGATCAAATCACTAAAGAATATTTTCCACCTTTGATGTATTTATATATGATGGTAATGTGACATTTGAGCTGTTGGAACTGTCTGCCATGAATTCTACTAAATTATTTTTAAGATTCTCAATTTGATGTGAATTATTTATTCGTTGGTGTCAGTGCTAATGCTCGTCGATGCTTTCACCCTTTACCTTAATAATTAAGGCTCCTTTTTCTATGAGTTGATAATAGAATATATTCTTTAAGTTGCCAAAAATAAATAAAAAGAAGAGTGTGCATGAAGAAAAGTTGAATCAACTTTCCACCTCAAGTTAATTTGAATGGGATTTGTGAGTCAATTATTTTATGTGCCTACTTCAACTAGCATTTTGAACCATTTATGGGCTTGTTTGCATTGACAGTGGATTCATGTAGCAGAGATATAAAATTGGGGGATAAATGTTGGATTTTGAAGTAGCAGCAGCTGTTATTTTTCTGTCATATAAAATGCTGAAAGGTTATTTTTCTTTGTCATATACACAGATATAGTGAAAGCTTTTGATACTAATCTTTAGCTCATCTATTCTGTTGTTTCATTGTCAGTAACAAGGTTGGCTATACCGCGCAGTTCGTCATGGTTCAATTGGTATTTACCGGTTCGATCGTCGATCGATACACGGATCATCCCGTTCGGTTTTGTCTCAGACTGTTTCTTCATCGCTGACTAGTTCAGAATTTTTTTTAATCTCATTTTCTTGACAAATAAGGATTAGGTTTAATTACAAATGCTGCAAGTAGGAACAGTCATGTGCAGTTTATATTTGATAAACTAAGCAAAAGGAAAGCTTAGTTCATCTGCATATATTGCTGTGATTTTATTCATATTTAACATCACTTTCACATGATATCATCCTTATACTTCTTCTCTCAAGGCTCCAGAAAGCTCATTTGATGTTGATGACTACAAGAAGTTGATCATAGACCTCACTTGCTTAATACTAATTTCCCCACTATGAACTCCTCAAACAAGAAGAATTGATGCCTTCCCATCCACATCATTCATTGGGTGGTAATACAAGACAAGTTCTAAGTTTCAAGCACAAATGAATAATATAGGTATATATATAATGAGAATTTGGTTAGGTCAATGCCTCTTATCAAGACTGAGTCTAACTGTGATAGAGATTATGAAAGATCAATGACTCAAAATTGGAGAGGAATGAATAGATCAATGACTCATATTTATATATCTCCATGTGCAGACTATGAAAGACAAGTATCCTACAAAAGACAAGTATGACTTTCATGAGAACTCTTCTCTCTATAACATGAGTTCCCAAAAAATAAAACTCTTGAAACAATTTGAGACTTTGTCATGGTTGAGTCTTCGACTTGTTTTCCCAAATTCTTAGAAATATGATAATTCTTTTTAGAACTATATACATTTATATTATTCTGGTGCACCTTTTTATGATTAAAATAAAAAAAACAAAACATTAGAAATATAAATATGTGGAATAAAAAATACATTCATAAATGATAAAAATGTTTTCAATATCCAGTTAGGGTGCTCTAAAATTTATACCAACTCCAAAGTTGATTTGGAGATCGAACCTTCTAATTATCCATATGGATTAGAAGAATCCTAACTGCATCATCATTATAATTATAATTATGGATGCCTAATCATGGTTTCTCATAAAGACAATCAAAAGCAAAAGGAACAATGCACATGCAATCATGTGCGGATGGATCACTTTCATGATGATCACATTATAAGCATAAAAATTATAATCATATTATTATTATATAAAATTTTAATATCAAAAATTAAAATATAATAATCATAGATCGAAGATTAGATGTATGTACCTTTCAATACTATTGATGTGTGTACCTTTTCTGATCTGAGAACGCATTTCGTAATTCAATCCGTAGAAAACAATAACACATAATTGTAAGATGAACTAGATTCTCATTCTTCTTTTTTTCTATCTTTCACCGGATCACTATAAATGATGAAATAGGGACTAAAAGGAGATGAGAATAAATCTATAATCTTGTATCTTATTATGTTATCACACATATATATAACTCCTATAGAGTCATACCTATTTACATATGAGAGAGCAAAGGGTCTAGGATAAGTAATTAGAAGAATCCTTTTTTTCAATGTCGCTCCTAAAGAATCTTATCATAAGTAAACTTTCTTTTTATTTGTTGATGATCGTAATAAGAATCTAATTAGATTTACAATATATCTTACTCACATAATCTATTATTCTTTTAATCAGTAAGATATAAAAAATTAAAATTAAAATAAATAAAATTAGAGTTTATTTAAAAATAATTTTACTTAATTGGATTCTAAAATTTTTTAAAAGTATTTTATAGATGGTCATGAATTTTTAAAATAAGTCAATAAGTCTAATAAATACAATAATATTTTATTAGGTCCGACAATAACTATAGTGGTTAGATGTCTGTCATACTTCCTATACTATAATATTATTAGTATATTATAATATAGTCACCTCCTATAATTTATCTTATCAAAACAATATTAATATCATATTTAACTACAATATGCAGATACATAAATATAAACAAGAGGAGGAGGATAATAGAGGAAGAAACTTCACATGCAAATCTCTCTTGCGGTTTTCTGGGTAGAAAAGTTGGTTGAAACACATAGGATCACTGAATCATTGGATTTTAGTTCTCGTTGCTAGACATGGCATGTTGCAAGAAATTAGTTTGGGACAAACCTATTGGTCCTTACAAATTTTGAGATTGTATTTTCATCCAAGAAACTTTTGTTAATTATTTAGTTTGAGATAAAAAGATACAATAATGCCTAAAATATAACTAACAGTTTCATAATCATAATAATTTTTCAAAGGATGTTAGCGGTTAACCGACCAAGATTAACCACAATAGCCTATTTGCAAGTTTTTAGATTTTGTAAAGGTCTCTATGATAAACTTAAATTTAGATTTGGGAGCATATATACACAATTTAACCCTTTTTAGGGTAATTGGGACATAATTACAATGATTATATTTAAGCTAAACAAGAAAAGTAGAGGAATGTAAAATAGTCTAGTCAATGCATAAATGTCAGACAAATGGAAAATGAAAGTGGTTTTTAGCAAAACATCAATTGATAAAATCAGAGCATGTTGAGTAATTATATGTATTCGATGCTCGAATTATGTCCTATATAGGCTGTGATAATAATGAGTAGCACAAAGGCCACATCCATCATCATCAGCTCCACCAGTTGCAGACAGAAGCATGAATGAGAAGTATTAGCTCATGAAAGTGACCGCATGGACCATTTGATAGCACCACAGTTGGAGGAACTCAACTTCACAAGTATGATTGCCAGCTGCATCTCCAGATGACATGCTTGGCGACAGACAAACGATTAACAGTGGGTCAATAAAAAAAGAGAAACCATGGTGAGTGATGAATGGAGTTTGCTGGAGTTTATGTACATGCAAAGAAGCTTTTTGAATGAGATCAATGTTCTTGACAGTCTGAAGTCCAGCACAATCATATTTAACACCAAAAGAGATTTTGGAGAAACTTTAGCATCCCTTTACAATTAATTGAATGAGGAGCTGGTTCAAAACATAGTTGCAGACACCATACAAGATTTGCTGAGCTACAAGAAACCGGGCTGCTCCTTGTTCATGGGTTGCCTATCGATCTACAACACCAATAAAAATAACAACAAACCGTGATTTCCCAATTATTTGGGGTCAGTTACATATGATTTTTTTACTACCATTGAGAATATCCTTAGTTAAAAGGTTTGCCTATCAATCTAAGACATAAATCCTACACTGAACAATTACTGTTGAAGGAAGACTGAGAAGAAGCCACTTGAGAAGGTTTACGTCAGTAGTGTAGCTCCATTTTGTGCTTCTTTCCGGCTGCGGAAGGGCTGATCACTCCATCAATATAGCAAAATGGCTCCTCTTTGTTTGGTTTTTCCTTCTCGGATGTCCTTAGAAGCAGCCCTTCACAAGCTCTAGGAGGTACTCCATCATAGGCTTTGCAAACGTAATGCTCGAAATTCTCATAATCCTATAAGAGTAAAAAAATAAATTAAAACACAATGAGAAAATAGTCTCCTTTCTTAAAAATATAATTTTACAATACTAATGTAAATTATACTTTTTCTTTTGAGAATGTTAACAGTTTATAGCTGACAGGGACTGTAATGGACAAAAATTCCCACTTCAAGATGCCACATGTGATGCAGATTTACCACTCGGCAATACCACCATGGTACTTAAGCAATACCTATGGTCCTTTCTTATTCCTAAAATTTGTAGTAAGGTCTTAGATAAGTGTAATATAAAATATTGATATGCACTATTGCATGTATAATTTATAAACTAAATGTTAGGTAAGTATGCAATTAGAACATACATAAGCAATTTAAGAATTTAAAACTTAAAACTTCAGTTTTCATATTGCCTTTGTACAGCATCCTTTTTTTTATTTACTTTGAGACACTGAAGAAGCGTTCTATGTGAAAAAGAAACCAAAATTAATGTTCTCTAACTTCAAACAACAGCAGTAAAGTACTCTCTTCAAGAGCCAGTAGCACTGCAAGCAACAACCAATCTCCAGCATTCCAAGGCTGAAGTTGTAAAGAAGTTGAAAAGATAACTTGAAATTTTCTGTTACAGGTAAGAAAACTGCACTCTATTCCTATCCTTATCAAAATAAATGGTGTTTTTATTTGTGAATTTGCATCACATGTCATATTTTTATGTGTATTAATGTTAGCATACTAACCTCATAGAGTGGCTGTCCGTTAACTACCAACCAAGGCACATAAATGTGAGGGGGCTGAAGTGCATCTGTCTTTGCTTTATATTGTAGTTCAAGCTGCAAGAAACTCCAAGCATATCAAACTACTTAATAGTAACGGTGCACATAGTATCAGCCTCATCAATCTGTCATATGACAGTAATTGTGGTAAGCCACTAGAACTAAGATGCATTTATCATAAATCATCTGTTGAGCCATAATAGTGAAGTTAAACTTAACATGGTTAATAATTTTACAGCTAATCTATGCAAAAATAGTTTGTAATTCCTCAAGGAATGCATTTTCACATGATCAAATTTCTAGCTCTGGAAGCACAAAGGATGTCCATATGAGGTTAAAGAGCCAAAGACAAGTGTGCACTTTTTTTAATGAGAGAATACATGTCTAACCAATGGGAAAAATCACATGCTCAAACTCACAAGTAGTTTTACCCCAAACCAATCTTCTATGCTTCATAGCTAAACGGACAATGCATATATGGTCTATGAAAATGTCTAGTTCTTTGAGGCATTAATTTCTTCTAGCTCGTAGTCCTGAAGGCATTGATACCTCTTAAAGTTAAAGAGACAGATACTGAGAGATCATGATAACCACAACCTTGTCAAAATTTTGAGAACAAGAGAAATGACAAGAAAAAAAAATTGTATCATCCATAACAATTTGTTAGAATGGTAGTCCTGTTTTTTGTGTATATTTGTCTAAATATGACCAGTTCACATGTGAGTACTTATTTTTAAATTTTTAACATTTTTTAAGCAGGACTGATTGTGAATAGTTGCTGTGCTTTTTGAGAAACAACACTAATGAGAAACATGATGCAAACCGACCTCATCCCCATACCCACTGTTATAGCAATCAATGACAGGTTTTGAACCAAAGCCAGTCTGTTGGAAACAAGCTTCCCAGTTGGTGTATTGACCTTCTTCAACCAAGTGCTCAATACAGTAAATGAATCTAAAATGTTGTTGCTGCATTACAAATTTCTGAAAGTTAGTAAAAATGATGAATAATACCAAAACCCAGTTCTCTATATGAATGACAGTATAATCTAAATGCACAGAATAAAGTTCAGGGATAAATCATAGCCATAAGTAGGAAATAACCATCATTTTCTGTACCAAGCCTATCATAGTTCGTATAGCAAATCATGGAGCTTAAATACTATGTTAGCCTACTCTATTTTTCTTATGAAGTTTTCTGTATGAAATTACCCATACATTTCATATGCTGCTATAAATTTTTTTTTACAGAGGATAAGTGACGAAGATGGGATTCAAGCCCAAGACCTTGTGATATACTGTCAAAGTTTTTATCAGCCAAGTTAGCTAACACCTTTATACCTTAAACATTGGTCTGGTAGTGATGTATCAAATCCTCTTATTAGAGGTCAAGGATTCAAAACCTCATCCGACATATTTTTAATTAATTGGTGAAGTAGCTGTATGTAAGAGTTAGCTTACTACGTCTTAATTAATTGATGAAACTCTTGACAGCTTTGTGCTGCTGTTTGAAGTACAAAAATTTTGCCACTGTGGACTCATTTAAAATTGTTAGTTCTTATGAATGGTTGTAATTATTTCCCTAGGCACAATAAAGCATTATGAACCGAAGAAAACAAAGGAATATGACTGCGTTTGAGAAAAAAAAAAACATTGACATATGCTTTATCATAAGAAAATTATATAACATGCTAGCAATTGTATATACTTTACCACAATGGGCCAAGAACTTATAGCACATGCTTCAACAGTGTTCAATAGGCACTCATACTGGCCATGCTGCAAGACGGGAAAAAGAGAATTAAGGCCACGGAAAGAGAAATCATAAATTTCAGAACACAAAAAATCAACAGCAGTGTTCGAGGAAAAAATGAGTTCAAGAATTGTAGGATCATGTTATTTAGTCACTGATTGTGGGGGGGGAGGGGGGAGGAGGGGAATACGGTCAAGAAAACAAGCTCAGGCTAAGAAGTGGACGCAAGGCTCCACATTTCCTCCACTGCAGCGGACACCATACCTTGTCTTCCAGAGGACCAATAAAGGCACTTGCTGCAGTACTGATACCATTAATCGAGCGGCATTTACTCCAATTTATTGCAGTCGATATAGCAGCTAATTCTTAGAGATTACCGTCAAACCAATTCGCACCGAACAGGAAAACTAAGCAAGAGGTGGGGAGCGCAGGACCTGGCAGGAGATGGAGCCGTTGGGGTCGAGCATGGCGTTGCCGAAGGGGATGAAATCGAGGTCGACGATGGAGATCAGTCCGTTGCTGAAGATCTTGGGGAGGTGGTTCACGATGAAGCTGGAGCAGAAGGGGCACAGCGCCTCGTAGTACAAGGACAGCGAGACCTTCCGACCGGAAACAACAACGGGCGTGGAGAAGACATGGCAGAGGAGGATGAGGAGGAGGAGGCCGAGGCCGAGGCGGCGGGACGAAGCCATTGGGAGAAGGATAAGAGGATCTCACTTGCCCGTGAAGTGGCTGTCGGCGGCAACGGTATCCCAAGCTTCTCTTTACGTAAGAGTTTGGACCATCGATGGGGTTTTCTTCTTCTTTCCTTCCTTTCTTTTGTCTTCTTCATTAGTATTCTCTCTCTCTCTCTCTCTCTCTCTCTCTCTTTCTTTGGGTATACGGAGAACTGAGTTAGGTATTAAGGTGGGCCCCATGATAATTTATTAATCTAGAAATCATTTTTTTGGGATAATTTATTAGACAGAAAAACTTTTTTTTATCCTTCAATAAAAAATTAAAAAAAATAAAACTCAAGTCTATATCTGAACTAACTACATATTATCTCCTTTTAATTAATTATCTTTAACTAGTTTTAAAAATTATATTTAGATTCTTATATTTATAAAAAATAATTTAACTTCATTGCTATAACAAATCTTTCTTTCTTAATTTTTTAATCCTATAAATTATTTTTTAATGTTTATAAAAATCTTATTATTTTATTTTTTATAAAAATAAAAATCTCTTTGAAAAATATAAACATCGAAATACTAAAGATAACTAATTATAAAATATAATCTATAATTAGCTTATCTAATTCATATTTTTACACGCAAGATTTCAAACCTAAATTTTTTTAAAAAAATATTAGCTAATTTTTTCTTAAGGAAATGAAATATATTTTATCAGATAAAATTTTCAAAGCTTACATAAACCATTTACTCTTTATTAAAAAAAAATCAAAACTTACCTTCACCACCAAAAAAATTAGGTCATCATTGGTGCATTTTTATTATTTTATCGTATTCGAATCAAACTCAGCATATACATACACCCGACTTGAGATTCTTTTTTTGTGCATGCAAGTACACATCACTAAAAAAACGCCATTGAAAAAGAATGAAGTGCAGGTTGAGGTAATCTGGCAATTAACTGTTACATATGGTTGAATCAATCACATGTAAGGAAGAAATGCAAGTAGGTTTCATCAGAAAATAAGAAATTACTTTAGCAGGCAGTCATGTTCATCTGCAACCACAAACTACCAGGAAAGTGTAATTGGGTTATTGCTGGCTACTTCAGGATCAATACCTGACCAACAAAATCTGGTTTCACCTCTAGCTGATGTTACAAACTAGACAGCCTCTCTGCTTTCTGTAAGAGCAGAAGCTTGTGAGTACTGGAAGTCAGATTTTGATCAGTTGAGAATCTTTTGGAGCAGTACTAAATGACAAAATATTCCTTTACCTGGGAACTCTTAGGTTCCAACAATGTCTTGCAGAATCACAATTCATTCTTCTTGTTTTTGATGCATGAATTGTGGTCTTTCTTCGGGAAAAATCTACCAAATAAATTTGACAACTTGCTAGTGAATGAACAAGGTTTTTGTGGGCAATTGGCTTCTGGCATTTTCAACTTCATGTTGCAAACCGAATTGAAATCATGCTTCAGATGGGGATTGACAATTCTTTCCTGCAAGTAAGTCATATATCATCTTCATACAAAGATAAAGGAGGGTAGTTGCAGAAAGCATTGCTAAATTTGAATTCTCAGGCGTACCTTGAAAACCTCAAACTGACAAAAATCTCTTTGGCCACAACCCTGGACAACACAAGTTGACACAATATCAAAATTAAACCTTTGCAACCGTCAACCAAGAAGTAGAGAAATAGATAAAATAAGATGTATAGTTGTTTGGCTGTTCTTTTCTTCACAGGTTTAACTTGTATAGTAATTGTTAATAACACATGATGCAGTATCATGAAGATGGAATATACCACAGTTGTACACAAATAACAACTTCAGAAATCCAATATTGGCCATGAAATGTTCAAAGCTAGGAGTAGAGGTTTGTTTTAAAAATAAATTAAACCAAATTTATGTCGCTTAATGTCATCCGAAAAATGAACTGGAATGTCTTAAAACCAAGTTCGTTGGTGTTACGTCGGAAGAAAACAAACTTGCCCATCCCCACCACCAAAAGAGTAGATGGCATGCATTACAATATAGAAGTGATAAAGAAGAACCAAAATTACAAATTACCAACATACATAATTAGACACCACTATTGATCTCAGAAAAATGGAATCTAGATCATGCTGTCTTTTGTATGTTATGGTAGATACTATGTTAACTCACCGGCATCGGAATTGGGATTTCATTGTGCAGCACATGCACAAAATACTTGTTCCTTTGAACTCCAGAGGATAATCTGTCATTAGAAGAATTGCCCGGACACTGGTATAAGACCAACATGTTGTTGCCAGCAAAAGGTGCTACACTGCTGCCCCTCCAATTTCTCCTCTGGGGTGGCTTTGGAGGAAGGCTCAATGGTTGCTCCCGTTGAATTTGTTCAAATTCTACAAATCAAGCAGACATACACGTGTTGGTGTGCAGCAATAGGAGAACTTATACAATAAAGAAGTCCAAATTAAATTCAAACAGAAAATCACCAGGTCCTTCAAGAAAAAGTCCAAGCAAACAGGTGAACGGAACAACCGTTTCAGCATGTGCAAAACGAAGCCTTGCTTTCTCAGAAGTTCCACCGGCAAGGTTTCCTGGAATTTCAACAATAAGACCAACTGGTTAATCAAAATGTTTGATCTATGAATAAGTTTATTATAAACTAGAAAACATATAGGAAACCAGACTGAACTATAGTATCCTATTTTGGTTTGGCTTCTAGAGGAAATGGTTTAGTTTGGTTTGATATGGAAACATATGCAACTAATGGTAACTTTAACACTCATACATTTCATTTGCTTTTTTATGATTCCCTACTTAAGTGTCAATAATTACTGGTGCTATGTAGACAAGCTTTCGAATATATTGATATATTGGTATAGGAGTATGGCAGGAAGTTCAAATTACCTTCTTCAGCAGAAATTGCTTGCTCCATTGAGTGGACAACATCTTGGAGTAATGGTACTCCCATGCGGTAATTAACTGATTCACCATAACCCTTTAGCACAAATACCTCTATGTCATCTGTCCACTCAAGTAAAGAAACCTGACCATGTAAAGAAGTGTAAGTACCTGAAATTACTCATAGTACGAATAAAAATAAAACTATTCAAATGATACATATACATATGCACATATGGCAATAGCCAAGTTCATTGTGCTTCCAAGCAGTCAAGCAGCTTGTGTAATGAACTTTTGTAAAAATGATAGATCCTCAGCGAAAGCAACAACTAGTCTCCAGAAACCAAATGGAGCTTCACCATTCTCATGGACTGCAGATGACTTGTATAAAACTCTGCTCAAGTATCCCATGGGATTCAAGAGTTATGCTTTACATTCTATACTTGATCTTTATTATACAAAAAATATTTATAAGAATAATCAGATATATATTCTCTCCCAGAACATCATACCGGCAATTCTAGGTTGTCTTTGCTCTATCCTACTCAACCTTCCTGTATCTCCAACTCCACACAATGCTACTGCAACTAGTCCCTTTTCTTAAGTCCACTACAAGATTCAACAACTATATAATTATCCCAGTGCACTCTATCTTCCACGTATAGAAGAATTGTTTTACAATATACCAAACTTCAGCCTCTGCCCACCATAACTGAGGACCCCATGCTCCCTCATATTGAACCACCAACTCATAACTTACAGAAAGTGGTTGGCAATCCACAAAAGGAGTTACAGCATGACCTTGATCTGTAAATAATTTGAAACCATCAACAGTACTAAATATGCAATGATGGCACACTTGCCAAATACGTACCTCAGAAGGATTAAAAAGGCCACAAGCTTGATTTGTAATGTCCAGTAAAGATGCTTCCTGCATATCACAGATAACTCTAACCAACATAGGGAAAAAAAGAGGCCAGCTGACCACATAGTAGACACACAACTTACCTGCTTACAGAGAAACCAGAGGGTTGAAATATCCTGCCTTGTAAAATTTAGGTGGTATCGACTAGATAACGAAGATGCAATTTGATCAAAAAGAGGTTCTTTCATCTTTTCAACATCGGGCTCTTTACTTGTTCTAAATTCCTGAAAAGTGATCATAACATGAGTAAACTATCCCTCAGATCCTGTATTAAGGAGCTCAACATGAGGAATCCACTAAAATGAATTTCTTTTAGTCACCACATGTAAAACAACTGGTATAACAATATAATTTTTTTTTAAAAAATGGTACTAATACATGCTACTATATATTGTCCATGGTTTTACTTTGATTAATGTTTCCCAATCCAATAATGCCTACATCATTTTCATGTCGTTGAGTTCTGAATCATCAAATTCTAGAAATGTACAATGAACACAAGAGACATGCTTACTTAATGAGAAAAAACACCTCTCATAAACCAAAATATGCATACACAGAAAAGCAAAATACATGCATGCACTCATTAGCACTAGTATGCATCTACATAGAAGCATTATATATGCATATAGATATATTTTTGCCAGTAAAAACTAATGCTACATTTGCAACAGAAACATAGATGTAGATTAAAAAGAAAAGAAAACAAAAAGAAAGCAAGCATAGGCAATTTATTTGAACTTATGGTGGCACTAGCTAGTGGCACAGAACCAAAATATTCTTCAATGCCACAACTCTGAGCTTAACTAATTCATGTGTTGGCTACAAGAAAAAAGGTTAGGAATTAGGACAACAATTATTCTACCTTGTATGTTTCACACGTATCAAAGAACCGCAGATGTATGTCACTAGCACGACTTTCACTAATCACAGAAAAAGAACGATGCTGTCCAGGTCCAAGGCTGCCTTTCCCAGCAAATATTCCCATGCCAAATGCCACAGCACTAGCTGATGCTCGAGGGACCTATATCACCAGCAGAAAAAAAACCAATATAATATTATCCATATGTAATATAAACTAAATTATCTGAAACTACTCTTACACAATTCATCACATGTATGTTTTCGGTATGTATGAGCCAATTTCTCTGGAAGGTGGAAAGTAACTTGGTTCGATGAAAAGACTGGTACAAGTGTAAATAAATTATCTAATGTAAAGTTGACAGGATAACAAATATTAACGGAACAACCTAATGTGTAATTATTGAACATATTTTTTTTACAATCCTGAGCCAAAGCAGCAAGATTTACAAGATCTTAAACTAATAGCACATCTCTAAGTTTAAAAAGAATCAATTATTACAAGCACAGAATTCTAAATTCTCCATTACTCCCAGGTTTAGCAGTGCTATTACCCTTTCTGCATATGTATCTATATATGAGAGGATGTGTATGTTTAGATGCATTTACAAGAGTTGCATGCTAAAGAAAACCATCAAACTGTCGTTGCCCCATGTGACTCACTCAGCAATCATTCAACTACTATTCGATGCATGTACCGCATGTTAGGAAGTATTACCATGCAAATGTTCAAATGGGTTCCCATATCGTCATGATGGAAAAAGTTTTCACAGTGGCAATAAGAATACTTCGAGCTTTGTTGACTAAATGAAGGAAAAGACAGATATAGATATATGATTAACCAACCCCTGAAGAAGATTTATTAGTTTAAAGAATGTACTAGGAGAAGCCAATTATTGCTTGATGTCTCAAATGGCAATGACACACCATAACCAGGAATTAATGCAAAATTGAGTACTCATGATCCAACTTTAAAGTAAGATTTGTATGCTATCATCAGAGGCGAATCACGTAAGACTATACAATTATAGAGTGGACAAACCTATATCAGGTTGCTGATTAAAAGTGAACATAGAAATATATTAAAAGTCACCTGTGTTGCCATTATTCGGAATGTGTCAGGGTGATATTCTTCATCAAACAGTTGCGGAAACCTTTCCCTCACACGGGTTCCAAGTTTGTAAAGCTCTTCCTCCCCTTTGACGATTAGCTCCCCACCTCTCTCTCTACCTTTCCATGGTGACTGCCAACCCCATAACCAGGCTGGAATTTTCTGCAGAGAGTCCTTTCCTGCTTTTTGCTTAGCATCATTGAGAAGTAAATCTAAACGAATTGCCAACCGATCCAACTCTTTTATGCGTTTCTTGGTTGGGGCACGTGTGCCATGCCTTGCCTGTTAATCACACATTTTAAACATAAGTTCCAGTTGCAACTGCAAATAAGTTTCAAATTCAACAGTCAATATACTGTAAAGCAATGTAGGTTGACATTCTTTCTGTGACATAAGTAGCCAAACAGTCATTGACGTAATAAAACTTGCCACTGTGGACCTTATCACCTAATCCTATTAGCAATCCTGATAAGTGCATCTCAAAGAATAGCAAAAAGATACTTGCCACTGTTTATTCAGGTCAAGTTAAATGTAACAATAAACCAACTTGCTCATCATATTTACCACAAGATTTAAGTGAATTGGTCTACATCCATCATGTATGGCAGAAGGAGAAAAGGAACCATCGTACGTCTCTGTTGCAACATCGTATCTGCAATTAGAGGGATGTAAATTAGCATTCTACAAAGATTAACACCACTGCCCAGACTACTCCAAATTTCCATTAAAACAACAATCATCAGAAAAATCTAGGTGCTATAAGTTATAACAATGTTTAACGGGATTCTAATTTTCTTCGTTTAGTATTTCGGGAGGGGAATTCTATGATCTCAAAACACAGATTGGTAATTGATGATCTAATCTACTATGAACTTCTACTGATTGATTTTTCTGCACAACAAACGATTATACAATACATCAGACCATGATTAGGAAATCTACAGTTATAAAACCAAATAATCCTTCTACAGGTAACAAATTTACCTATGGAAAAAAAAATTTGAGGGGGAAAAAAAAAGGAAAATAATGGCTTAGATCACTACCGGAGAGAGAGAGAGATGAGGGGAAGGGGCAGAGATGGCACCTGGTGACGGTCGAGAGGTGTCGGCGGACGTCGAAAGCCTCGTCGGCGGGTGAGGAGAGAGGGAGATGAGAGGAAGAGAGGAGAAGGGTGAGAAGAAGGGTGGGGAAAGCGAACGCCATTAAACCTACAAGGAAGAAGAAAAGGAGAGCAATCCAGAGGTGCCTCAAAGCGACGATCCGATCTCCGTGTTGCGTAATGAACTGGAAGGACCCGCAGGTGCCATCAAGGTTAGAATGAACGGGTAGGATTTGAAGGTGCCAAAAAATAAAAGGATAATTCTATTGGATCCTCAGAAGTTTTAATATTGTAAGATATCCCTATGCAAACCACACCTAAAATGTCCTCCTCCTTTTTTTCCTTTTTTTTTCTTCTTCCTTTAATTATAAGCGACGAGCGAAATCAACAATGTTTATGAACATAAATATCATCATCATCTTTTACAACTAATCATGAGGAGCAACGTCAAACAATAAAATGACGAAAAGCGATGATACAATAAAATAAACGCTAAGGTTTCAATTGATGAAAAAAGAGATTGTGAGAATACAAATATGTTTGATTCTTGAGAGACTATAAATAATAAAAAAAATTATAATGATAAATTTCTTTTATTATTTAAATTTTATTTTAAAAATTCTTAATATTCCTATGATATAACTATATAGATGTATGAAAATGTCCTCGTTATCTTTTTTTTTTTATTCTTCTAATTACAAGCGATGAGTTACATCATATTAAACGAACGTAAATAAATTCATTTTAGTGATGAGCGATATCAGACATTAGAGTGACGAGGAGCGATGTCAGCCCAATTAGATTTCGACAAACGAGATTGTGAGAATAAGAGTTAAGATCAGTAATTAAGATTTTATAAATAATATAACTATGTTTTATTATTTTTATAGAGGTTATTAGTAATAATAGATTGTCAATAGTAAAATGAGAAAAATAAGCATTATGGGAAGGGGGTGCTGACAAGGGCGACAACAGAGAATGGACGAAGCCGAGAACGCTGCCGTCATCTCTCGGTGCTTATGGAAGGAGATGTAGCAGATGTCGCTGTTGCGGTCGCAGACCAAACAGGCCAGCGTGCGCTCGACGGTGCACCGGCGAGTCTTAGTAGGAAGAACTCTCTCTCTCTGCTTGCTTGCAGCAGCTCCTTCCATTTCACTACCTTGCTGCTTACAGTGCATAGAGCAATAGAGACATGGATGTGATCTCTCTACCTGAACTCTAAAACCAGTAGCTCCTCTTCCACACAAGCTCTCATTCATCATCAGTCTTCGTCTAGAGTCGAAGACATGAATGATAATTATAATTGAACTCATGTCATTGACAATATCCAGATCAACTTTGCAATGACAATACGCCTTATTCAATCTATTTGAGATCAGCTCAGGAGATCCTTGTTCACAATGCTAGGAACAACATTAATGCAATGAACACCACAGATCTCAAAATAAATGATCGTTAAATGCTTGGAGAAAAGGAAAATAGATTTCAAACTAGGAATGTAGATCCTTCATATTGCCATCAATCTTTTTCCCTTGAATGCTTCTTTCATTTCTGGTTGATAAAATTTTCAACTGGAAGTTACACTGCTGATTAATCCATTATATGTATACAAGATAATGATATTAAGCTGCATCTCACACTGGCACTATCAATTGTATTTTTGGAATCACAAATCATAGCATGAGCTACCTTTAACATATTCATTAAGAAGCTAAAGATATGGTCATAAACGACATTTGCTGCTATCAACAATTACAACCTTAAATCCAGATAGCACAGCCAATGCACTGAGGCAAAGGTTACATGCATGCATGCATGGGTTCAGAGAGGGAGGGAGGGAGAGAGAGATAGAGAGAGAGAGAGAGAGACAACGAGGTGATGTCTCATCATCATCTCCCTGTGAGAATACAACTCTTATTGATCAGCCCATGGTAATAGAGTACCCAAAAACACACACTTCTACGGACTTCACCAGGATCAGGAAAGAGGTTTCATAGCTTCGATAATGCAATGTCCATCGCATCCACGAAGAAATCTGCAGCCACCAAGGCAAGGCATTCATATTGTACAAGTGATTGCAAGGGAAAGCAATTGAGATACCCAAAAAAGGCTAGCACTAAAATCTATACCTGAATCTTCTTTGGAGAAGCAGAGAGGAGGTGTTATTCTAAAAACATTGCCATAGAAGCCACCCTTTCCAACTAATACACCCAAGTCTGTTGTAGAGAAAGAAAACTTCATCAGATAACCGATTATCAAACAATAGGGAAAGAATCAATCAAACTGTTACGAACTGCAATTGCTAAAAGAGACTGAGAGAACCAAATAGTGAATTGATGCCATAATGCAGACGTCATGTTAGGTCGAGACATCCCTGTATCTCAATAACTGGAAGTTCCGACTATTTTATGAAGATCATTTCCGCAAAGTGATATTTTTTTAGCATAATTAAAGGTTTCATGGACTTGCACAGCTCGAAGCACTTACCTTTCATCGTCTCCATAACATGCAAGATTTCAGTTTTGGCTGGAGTCTTTTGTTGACGGTCAGTGACCAACTCAACTCCTAGCATCAGACCTCTTCCCCTTACATCGCCAATGACTAAGATATTCAAAACATGAAATATGTCAGGTGAATATTATTGGTAAGTAAAACTAAAGGCATACAGAAATGAAAATCATTTGAATGACAGTAAATCAACCTGCTACAATTATAGATGTGTTTAGATATTCACCACAGTATGATATCCACAAAGAGATCTCTCTATGTTTCAGTATAACATGTTAGTGCTGAGGAGCACACGTTAAAAGATGATATAAATGGTTGCATATCTGCTGGAGGATGGTATATATGATGCACATGACGGAAGGAATTGAGTCTCAACGTCTAAAGAGTTGAACATACTGTAGCAATCACGCTAAAAAAGGCCTATGTTCTCTTTGCGATATAAGCACAATGGAATAAGGGAAGAAGGAAATGAACACACATAGGATGGTTCCTCCCCTCTTACTCGACCTATATCTGCACAAAAGATATGCAGCTTGTTCCCATCTGTATTCTCGTCCTTTCTTATCCTCTCAATCAGTCATACATTTTTCATTTTTGCTTCTGTATATGCTAATAACATGTATAGCAAGTATCTTAAAGCACAAAGGTGATCAATCACTATAAAGAACCAAATAAAACTGGATCATGAAATCATGATATATGTTTTAGTGAACTCACTTTCATGCTTTTCTTTGAGTGCCATTAGTCCATCTTTCAAGTATGATCCCACGACTAATGCATTTTCTTGAAGCTTTTCTTTCTCGAGAACTTTGAGGACAGCATGGCCACCAGCTGTGCAGACAGGATTACCACCAAAGGTATTAAAGTAGCTTCGGCGAGTCAAGACTTGGGCAATCTCTGGAGTTGTAACCACAGCACCAATAGGTATCCCATTTCCAATGCCCTGGAAAAAGTGAAGTCAGTATCAGTTGATTTGAAGAGAACCATAACAGATATAAATATGGTATACATAAATTTATATTTTAGTTCTGTTCTTGAGTAACTAAGCACAAATTGCAAAGTATGCCTCCAACCAAGTTAGCGCCTTATGATCTCAAAGATGATCTGGAAACTTGCCAGTCATCATGCACAAGGTGCTATTTCCTTCTGCTGATTTCATCAGAGGAAAACAAGTTCGCCATAAGTCAGTTTTAGATTTCTATATGATCAAGATATGTACATAAGTATTAACCTTGGCCATAGTTACTATGTCCGGTACCACACCATGCGCTTCAAAACCCCAGAAATGACTCCCTGTACGTGCAAATCCTGCCTGGACCTCATCAGCTATGCAGAGCCCTCCAGCTTTCTTTATGCTATTATATACAGAAGGCAAGTAACCGGGTGCCAATTCCAATATCCCACCTACTCCCTGTCAACCAAGAAAGAATTTTAATCCATCAATTGTTGATCTTAATACAACAAAGATGAATGATAACAGTTGAAAGAGTAAACAACCTATGTATCAGAAAGGCATATAAGACATAACAAGTATTTAACAAATGGCGATCTCAATTGAGTTATTGCAAAAATAAATGGGATCCATTGAAATTGCATACTTGAATCGCTTCCGAAATGAAACCTGCAACTCGCCCAGAAGTTCCAAAGTCTATGATTTCTTGAACATCCTTTGCATATTTTTCTCCATCCGAACCAAAAACTCCTCTGTATTGATCTGGGTTCAGTGCATGGTGTACTCCACTCTAGTAAAAACATATGAGAATTAATACCATATCAAGCCACTTGCAGTAATATATTAATATTATGATATTTATCAAGTACTTCATCACTAGCATATTATTCACACGAAAATGTTTTGGAGTTCAAATTTCTAATGGTTCTTCAAGCCATATACATATACATATATACATATACACATACACATACATATACATATACACATATATACATATACATACACACACACACACAATTTACTGGTTTCATTTAATTACAAATTTCTGATAACACATGAAAACACATAATGGTGATCACAGAATTTCACTGAACAACCTCTTGTGCGACAATTGTAATACTAGTAAGGAAGTTCAGCATATTGAGATTGTTTATTATGGTAACCAAGTAAGGATCAACATTTGTTGGCATAGCAATGAAGAATTTCATCATGAACACTGTGATGCCGATATGGGCATAATCCTCCAACATCATATATACCTGGATAACGTTGAATTTCCAGTTACATTGAGCAGTTGCACCCATTGTCCCAGCTGCATTTCCATGGTATGCATTCCTGAGTGATATGATATCATGGCAACCGGTATAAAGCCGAGCAATCATTAATGCCAGCTCATTTGCTTCAGTACCAGAGTTTGTGAAAAACACAACCTGTAAAATGTATCATTTAATTAAATGAAACTAGCGTCTAGAAATAAAAATCAAGAAAAAGATCATTTGTACCTTAAGATCCCCAGGCAACTTTGAAGCTAATGCCTCAGCAAAATCCGCAATCGCATGGTTTAGATATAAAACAGTAGAATGTTGCAGCCGCTTCATCTGATTAATTATGGCTTCAATAACTTCAGGGTGGCAGTGTCCACAGCAAACGGTAGCAATACCACCGAATGCATCAAGATAGCGGCGCCCATCCTCGTCAAACAAGTACTGCATCTTCCCGTCAACAATGTTCAACTGTCGGAATATAAATTTTGCTTCAATACATCGATTACATGTGAATACATCAATTAAAGTTCATTTCTAGCCTTTCTTATGAATAAGTTAGGTACATGACAACGGAATCATTAATTAACTGTAAAAGCAAGTAAGTTAGGTTAGTGCTTTGCGGGATCTTCTTCAAATCAATCTGGGCAATTAGAATATTCCCTGATGAAATCCTATGTCATTCCGAAGACAGTCAGCAAGGTTCGTCTACATCCAAAGGAACCGGAAATTAAGATCTATAAAAACCGAATCGAAATTTACCAAAACAGAGAGATCTTACTTGCCGAAAGTAAAATTACCACTTTAGAGCCCAGATCAAATACTTCCAAAAAAAATAATGCCAGTTCTACTCGATAAATTCGTAAAAGCAACGCAAAAAATCGCCTTTTTTAATGAAAGTAACATCAAGATCGGATATTGTCTCTGCTTTCCGTCGGTGTTATAAAGAGAGAGAGAGAGAGACAGAGAGGACGGCAAACGCACGGGCTTCTTGTAGAAGCAGAACATGGAAGGGCTGAGGAACTCCGACCGCTTCCGGAGGATCTCCGCCGCCGAGGGCCCATCGTACGGCGGCGGTGTGTAGTCGAAAGGCGGCATATTGGGGAGTCCAGCAGCGGCGGCAGCATTCTCGCCGGCCACTGCAGCCGCCGATCCGGAGAACCCCCTCTTCGGGGTCAGAGAGGAAGAAAACCTTCGGAGGAGAAGCCCTTTCATGGCTCCCGAAGAGGAACACCAGCCTTTTGGAAACACGGACGACGAGTTCTCGACGCTTCCTTCCCGAAACGGACCTCGCGGCAGATCACTCCTCTCTTTCTCTCTCTCTCTCGGAAACAGCGGAGTTGGCGTTTAAATAGACGACGACGCCGAACGATCTGACCATTTTGCCCCTTTCATCTGATAGGCTCTTTCCGATCTCCTAATCTTAGTTGGACCGGCCTCTCCGGTCCGGCGAGAACTATTCGAACCGGCAGATCAATCGATTGGACCGCACAATAATTTTTCCCAAAAATCACTAATAATAAAAAAATATAAGCATTAAAGGACCAACGTGCCGAAATCAATTGGCCGAACCGGGTTCAATAAAATCATTTCCGATTTAATTGATGAACCGGTTCGATTGGGTAACGAAGGTTACTTAAGATCATATATCAAATTGGAAGGGGTTAGGAAGGGGTCAAATTGGATGACATGTGATAGTGAATTAGGTTCGAGTGGTTTTTGGATGGTGATGACATGCCACCATCTTTGTGTGTAGTGCAAATGATGCGATCAATCGAGCTATATGTGGGTTGGCATTGGGTGTTGGTATGTAAAACATCAGTGAGGAGATAGTGATCCAATATTTATGGCTTACTATATAAAACATTTAGTTTCTTTTGTTTTTGCTTTTATATGATACAATAGATGTAATATTCCTTTTAGACATTCAAGAAGTGGACTCGATGTAGAAGACTATATTATAGGTAAAGGTTGCTATTTCAAGTCGTATGGTAAATCCTTCTTATTTGTTCTATTTGTAAGTTTAATTTATCTTGATTTTTTATTTTTTATTTACTATATAGTTTTGCTTCTATGTATAGATTTATTTTTGGATTAGTATAAAAAATAAGTCTATATTCAAAATTCAAAACATGTTTTAGATTAATGATCTTCTAAACATATTTTTAAGATGATATTAGAGTAGATCATGAGTTTGAATCTTATATGTATCCTTATTTTCTCGTATTTAAATTAAAAGATTTTTTATTTTAATTTACATCATATATTTGGATTTCATTCATATGTCAAACCTAATTTATTCGTGTGATAAAATATTAAAGTATGTATTAAATATATAACACACGTGCGTGTCGTTTTGATTTATATCATATACTTTGAATTTCATTCAAATGTTAAGCCTAAATGGCGAAGAAAAATTATCCGAGACGTATTATACATGCACACATACAAGTAGTTTATCGTCTTGCTAATTGCAAAATAACTTAGCTAAAATTATATTGTCATTTGATCATTAAATCTGACGGTGACGAAAGCAATGAAATCACAGGAAACGCCACACTTGAACTTAGAATAGATCACCACCATGAGAGGAGAGTGTGTGCATGTTGGAGAGGGACATCAGCAATAAAGACTTGGTGGGTTGGGTAGGCAGAGAGATTTCATGTCATAAAAAAAGAATATTATTTTCATGTTGTTGATTGATTCACAACCAAATGACATGTCCCTTTGATAGGTGATCATGACCACTCACCTGCCTCTTTAATTGATTAATGGATCATCATAATTGCATTATTGTGTTTTGTTATCAGCATGGTAGAATCCCTATTGCAATTATTATGACATTTAACTTACCATTTGATGAATGGTAAACTATAGATTAATTTGTACATGTTTTATCATTTGATGAATAATAATATGTATAATATGTGGAGGGAACAAATCATTGTAAGTCTTTGGAGTTTTGGAAATAGCATATATGTCAACATAATTATATATATATACAAATATTAACTAACTATTCATAATTAGTTTGAATTTTAAAAGATGCATTCAAATAAAATATTTGGGTATTTTACATTACAATTATTCTAAAAAATGATTAAAAAATGCAAAAAAGAAAAACCAAAATTAAAATCAATATCATGCATGCGTCCAGTAGATTCCCTCTCACTATCCGTATGAATCGGATGGTGCGGACGGATTGGGTTGCGTGAATGCCACGTGACAAGATGATGCCAAATGACTCAGCATTTGGAGCTTTGCATGCTGCCAAATGTATTGTGTCAGTCGTGATGTCACCGCTCTTAGATTCATGTGGCCACCGCATCATTAACACGTGAAACGCGACACTTGTCATCGACCTCATATCTCTCTCTCTCTCTCTCTCTCTCTCTCTCGTGTTAAAGCGACGATCGAAGGTTGCATGTGAAGACGAATGACCTTTCGATGACTGTCTGTACCCTTACAAGTATACATTCCTTTCAGATATCTTCATGCTTCGCATATCGAGATTCTTAAGATGCAAACAATAAAAGAGAGATGTGTTTCAGCACGCCAAATCTCAAAGAGGATGAGCAGATACTGCTTGTTTGTATCTCCCAAGAATGGCTCCAAGAGAGAGACATCAGCGTCATCCTATATGATACTTGGGTTTGTACTACGTCATGCATGAATTGTTTGCAGACAACAACCTCTCTCTCTCTCTCTCTCTCTCTCTCTCTGCAATGAAGAGATGCCTTGTGCAGATTGGCTTTGGCATATTATTGTAGCAACATCAATGAGCAAGTTGTAGACTTGGAGAGAGAAACGTGGACATCTACTTGACAGATGACATGGTAAGCTAATGTGTCTATGAACAGGCAATGCTTGTATATATATTATGTTCATGATTTAGTAGGGGTATGAGATACTTGCTGTTAAATGTTATCGATGCATATAAAGCAGAGGATTAGATGAACAAATTAGAGCTTCTTTTGTTGTGCACTACACTTGCACGTTTGATGTTTGCCTCTATTGTTCTTGCTATTATTGCAGAGTGGAAACTCTATTCTGCTTTGCAGTCAGATCAAACCAATCTCTTCAGATTTTGATGCTGAGATGTGTGGTCGATGCACCTGTAGTGCCATGGCTCCAACCTCAGAAGGACTGTTTTGCTGAGAGGAACTCGGTGGGACTTGCACTCTTGTTCATGATCAAGTTATTTGTTGTCAGATGCATAAACAATCACATGAATAAATCATTACATTACATTATATATATATATATATATATATATATATATGTAAATCGCATATCCTTAAAGAATCACATGATTATTTAAATGTAGTAAATTGTACAAAAATAAGAAGTATCACTGCGTTTTGTCGATCGGCTTAAAGATCGGGCAGTGGGAATGAGCATAAGAAAAAGCCATATCATTACTGGAATCCAGTTCATGAAATATGCTATATTTTACATGCAATGAGGAAAAATTTGGATGGTAACCAACATAACAGGTTCTAGTAGTTCAACAAAGAATACTTTAATCTCAAAACAATCTTCCCTTTCAAGATTCCGAGCTTCCCTCCGGTCACCAACCAATGCCCTGGTATATCATCTGAGCCCTTTTTCATCTCGGACAAATCCACAAACTTCATCAGCCTCCCCACATCTGAATCCGAGCTCGACTCGTCGGAGCTCGTCGATAGTCCACTCGGCAACCTCTTCAATTTGCCGACTAGGCCATCTGGGCTGTGGTCCCACAAGGATCTCCTTATCGTACACCCGGGCACTTTGGAATATAGAAGTTTCATGTACAAGACGTTCTTCGATCCAAAGTCCCAAACTCCAAGCTGAGCTCCAGTGACTACAAAGACACCGGAGAGATCACTAATGAAATTCTCGTGGTTCTCTATAGGAGCTGTGGTAACATGGGAGAAGTTCTTCCACTTTACAGGCTCAAACCATCGGCTGTCTTGCTCCTCCGGTCCCTTCCAATTGGGCGCGCCGATTGCGACATGTGTGTCCCAGTATGGCTGGAGGATCTTTGGAAGGGTGGCCAGATGCTGCACCTGAATGCATAATCGGTTCTGCTTCGCACCTTCTAAGCATAAACTTAGGCCGGTGACAGGCTTCCGGCTCACTGATACCTGCAAGGATATTCAATCAATGTAACGAGAAAGAAAGATCAATTAAAGGCAGGGCTGATATGGGGAGAAATTTAATAACACAGTGCTCTGGTTCTTTACACCATTAAATTTCCAAATCATCTTAGCTCAGCCGGAAAATTGAAAGGGTAATCCATAAATGTGAGCAAACTTCATGAATCAAATTTCTATATTATGGTGTAGGAGTTTTGCAACCAACTCTATCAACATTCAGCAAATTTATATAGCAAAAATATGGATATAAATCCTTCTCATATACTGATTCTGAAAAATAATTGGCACAACAGCTTGGAAACTGTTACGAGATGTTTGGTGGACTATCATAATTGTTAATGTGTAAGAGACCAATTATAATTCACCGACAAGTAAAACAAAAAACTGGAAACCTTTGCACAAGACTTGCCCACTTAAATAATAAATGGGCAAAAAAATCCACCTTTTATTTGACATTTCACATCGTCTATAATTCACCTGTTATTTAACTTTGATATGATTAAGCTTTTCGCAACCTCAGAAATACATTATTCAAGTTGGAAATCACACATTTATATTTTACTCTCACGCAGAGCATTTTCCTGTCACCAGTTGATACTAAGTATCAAGGCAGCTTAAGATTCCATTTACATCCACCAAAGTGTAGATCCTGGTTCCTGATGTCCCAATTGTGTGCATAATGTATATCATGTAAGGCATACCTGTTCTTGGCTCACATATAACTTCTGTCCCATTATGCTAAACTGCAAAAAAGGGCAGACTGGCTCTTTTCTTTGATGTCCTGGAAATTCTTCTCGAACTGGGGCCCAGATCCTTGGGATTTGGAACTCAAGGAAATACCGTAGCTCCTCAATTGGAGGCTTATCTGTGAGAAATTGATATGAGAAATCAAACATGGGGATTATCCAGAGAAAGATTCCAAGAGAACATGTGAAGTAGCTCCATACATTCCAGATAAAGGTTAATGGCACGAACAAGGTGGTCCTTCCCAGGAATACTTTCTAGAAGAGAAGTAATGGGAAAGAAGGTCATTTCAATGACATCAGGTGCCGAAGGAACAGTTCTGGCCCAGTCAACATGGTTCTGTACTAGGTCATCCCCTCCCCTCCTCCTAAAAATGACAGTTACATCCTGCATCAGTAAGTGCATTAGTAGTGCCATTTGGTATTTCAAACCACCATCGCTAGTCTGCATGCATAGAAGATGAAAGAAAGTGTTTTTATATAATCTAAGCTCATCTTCATGTAAATTATGGAGTCGAAACATTATGATGCGTGTTTATAACTTACTGATAAGGCCAATAATTAAAATTTTGAAAGCCAGGAGAAGAAAATAAAGAACTGGACCTCTTGCATTTTTGAAGTTTCAACCAAGTGATTTATAATTGGACAAGAGAAATTTCATCTTGTCAATAAAAATCTTTCAAGAATCCTTGCAGTTTGTGTGGCTAAATAGATCAGTATGTGGCATACTAAAGGATTCTATACCATGACAATAGAAATGCAGGCACAAAACATAGGCAAACATCCTGAAATATGTATGCCATGCTGGTTATATGTTGAGAGCAAAAGGAACATCAATTAAAGTACCACGAAACAGAAAAAATATATACGCTGCCTAAGCACCATGATTAACATTCAAAACAGTAACAGCAACCATAAATGCAAAAAGACAATTTTGGTTGGCACTACAATTAGACGTGACAATGAAAGAGAATAGGACTTACCTCTTTTGCACTGAGATACGGAGCACTAAGCGGTTGCGGGTATATCCCTTGACTGTTAAATATAAAAGGATCCACAGCCTGGAATAGGATCAAGTAAGAAATGATTTATCAGATTTGCAACAGCAAGATACTTTTTAATGATCATAGAAACTTTAATGAAAAGAAAAATACTAGCCTTTCCCTTCATTCTCATTGGACCTGAACTTGTACGGGTTTCAACTTCAGAGAATCTCTGATCTCCCGCATCCTGGATGTAATTCTTGATTTCTGTGATCGATAACGTCGATGAGATGTGCTGCTTCACATAAATCACATCCTTACCACCAACAGTAATTGACGTGATAACGTGAGTACCATAATTCTCAATAAATCTGTCAATCAATTAAAAGTTAAGAAAGAAATGTTTGATTTGGAACTTTTCTTACTAAAGATTCTGCATTACCACCTTGCTAAGGACAATGGTTCCCATGAACGTGGCACAGCAGCTCTTACATTGTCCCGTAATAACGAAGGGTGTTTTGTCAGCTGAACCTTACACAAAGGAATGAACTTCCCATCCATTGCAAGGCTTTTTGTAGCAGCAGCATCAATTTTCTTTGATCCACTAAAGCTGAAAGCAGAATTAAATTTTCCCAATGGAATATTTCCTGATAGAAGAGCTTTCGTGTTAAAATGCTCTGCCATCTGCAGTAGATTGCCAAAAATAAGAAAGGAAAATGTTAACGACCTATAACAATCAACATTCCTATTTCAATTCAATCAGCAAATCATTTATATATACTAGGATGGTAAGAACACTTTGTCATATATAGCAGAACAACAAAGACAACTCAAACAGAAGAATGGTCATAATTGTTCAAGATAATCACTGTTTGCTGACTTGCAGCTTGAGCCATGAACTAACCAATGTGTTCAGTGATTGAGTGTTCAGATTAACCAGAAAAAGTAAATTCTGGAATTTTGAGTGCTCTAGGATACTCATTAAGGTGATCCACCCACTTTTGATAAAGCCTCCTGTAAATAGAACAATAGTCCACTCTAATTTGTTCTTCAAGCTATTACAAAACGATATCGACTATTGCCTCATTACCCAGAGTAACACATACTTAAACTTCTTGTTATTCAAAGCCTCCCATGATAGTAAGTTGTTGGTATAAGCTCCCTGAGAATCAAACCTCCTGATAACGGATCAACCCTCACTGAAACCTGCTGATTAGGGCCTGGAAACTGCTTATAGAGGCGGTTGTTGATTTGAGTTAGTAAGCCATGGTTGAATAGGATGATTAAATTATGGAGCTAATGGCTTCAAGAGTAGGTTTGTCATCAGCTTCACGTGAGAGGCCTTAAACCTAAAGCTTGAGATTTCCATCCTCCGTCTATCTAGCTGTTTGGCATGGTCAGACCATTGGGTTCAGAAAACCGAGCTCTCATGGACTAGGTTGCCTCATAAATTGTTACAACCATGTTGGTGCTACCACCTATCGGTAGGACCCAGATGATACCATATTACCTTACATGGTTCAGTCTCACAGGTTGACAATGGTGTTTCCCCCTTCAAGAATACATGGTAAACCCACCCACAGCAGTGTTGGACTCCAAGATTATAATCAGCAATTGCTTGTGATCGTATTACTGAACAAAGAAACAAACAGATATTGCTAAATATACGAAACAAATAAAAGATCACGTCAAAATGTTCAACGTCTTATCTAAAAGCTTCTCAAGAAGACTCTGCAATGTTAACATCTATTTTACAGGTGCCTTCACCCTTCCTATGTGGAAGCAAAACTAAAAAGCAACTATATAAAGTGACAAGCATTTAATCAGCAGAAAGCATACAAGAACAACAGATATCAGCTGACCTCATAGAATCCACAAGCACCAACACTCTCTCGTCGAGGGCTCTCAAGAGTGCACTTGACGTCCCTCGAGACATTAGACACAACAAGTCCATCTCCGATCGGCAGATCCCTCGCGTGCTGCTCGTCGACCTCGACCACCCGCGACCCGGCGGCTCCCTTGCAGTAGAGCAGCCTAGTGTCACAGTTCGCATCGAAGCCCCTTCCGAGGGCCCGAATCGAGTTCTTGACGGCAGTGAGGGCCGGATCATCCTCCATTCTGGCCGACATCAGAAGCAATTGAGGGCAAACAGCGCATCAACCTAACAAACCACGAACCCTAATAGTTCGCTGAGGATGCTAAAAATCGGATCTTTCTCGAGGTCGGAACGCGGTTTCTTTGATTTGGCGAAGAAAAACAGGGGGAAACACTTCTTACCACACGAATTCTTGGAATCAACCGCCCCGGAAGGGTTCGATATCGATCCCAAGTCTCCGATCCACCAGGAAATGAGAACAGAAGACTCGACACAGTCTCTTTCGTTTACTTTATCGACAACCGAGAGGAACGCATCATTCCAAGGAGATAGTAAACGAGCCGAAGAAAAGGCGACTCGCAATAACGGGTCTTTCTAAAGGTCAAAATCGAGTGTCGGATTCGGGTCACGATGATTTTCAAGTCCGATCCGATAGTGGAACTATCGAACCTGAATCCGAAACTGCACGAATATTATAAAAAAAAGGTCTTTTACAAGTAAATCCTCGTTAAATGTTAAAAATAACATATTTGCCATTCGGACTCTAATATTACATATAATTAATCACATTTAGTCATGATTAATAGTCATTTATTTCTTAGAAGATACGTGCATTTAAAGCGGAACAAAAATAATCTTCGCTCCAAAATCATTCTTATATTTTCTTTACATTAAAGATTAATTTGTAGTCATCGAGAATGTATTCTAAATTGTTCTATCGAATGCCTCTCTATTTCATGCTTTTTGGTTGCTTTCTATTTGGTCTTCGATTGACTCCAGAGGCAAAGAGAGAAGACTAGTATTTGGTGACTGCATCAAAGTCTACACCACTCTACTTCCAATTGGTAGTCAAATGTTTACAGTGGTCAGCCATCCCGTTGGTTGACTTGGTTGCAGTAATACGCCACCATTGCCGGCCAGTTGGGTGGATTTCTTTGGGATCTACAGGTAGCTGATTGCAGCATGAGAATAAGAAATGATTTGCAGTGGTTGTTTGGTTAGCGCAGTGTGTCGTTTTTGTTGTGGTTTCGTGTGAGAGTCCAAAAGTAAGGAACAAGAAAACCTCACACAGAAAACAGTGTTTGCGCAACGATGATGAAGCAGGAAGATCTAGTGAACTGAAGGAGGACTAGTCAAAGCTTCCAAGTCAACTGGTTCCCATTGCCAACTCTGAATCACGAGTAGAGCCTTCCGTCTATCGTTTTCTGTCAGAAAAGTCTGCTGCAATCCGGCTTTTAGCTAAGCCGACCTTCTTGACCTGTTTTTGATGCTTCGCTCTGCAGTTAGAAGATTAAAATGTTTGCTCTGTTTCCCGTGTTCTTGTGTGATGAAGATTCATATATAAAGCCTACTGAAGCAGCAGTCCAGTAATTTGTTTTCCTTCTCAGTATGTGCTATTATTTACCTTTGGGATTCATTCACAGATCAATGAGTAAATGGGGTTGTCGATGGATATATGTACAGAATGATTTGGAAGGAAACAAGGAAATGAGGATCATCAATTGTTCGATGGCTTCTGTGCACAAAAGTATTACTACAAACGACTTCTGTACAGTGAAATCTGTCTACTTTCAATCGCCGTCGTCGGCAGTCAACGAGAATCGGCAGAGAGGGCAGAGACGGCTGAGCTGAAGCCACTGACGGAGACAGGTCGCGTGGAAGACATGCGAGCAGGGCATCCGGCAGACTTTCTCCCCGCGTCCCATGTTTTCTAGGCAAACACTGCACTCCCTTCCTGCCGTGACGCCGTCTGCTGCTCCCACGGTTAGGGTTTTCAGGCTCTTGATCGATGCCGTGGACGCCGGCACTGCACCGAAACCCCGTTGATGGCTCGGATCCGCTGTCACCTCGCTGACGTCCGAGACCCGCTGCATCATCACCATCACTTCTCCTCCATCGACTTGAGTGCTCGGAGGGCCGTCGTCTTGGTCGATGTTTACCTCGATCGTCACTCGGCTGCACCTAGAAAACTCTCGGTCGGCCTCGTACGTGAGGAAGAAGATGCCGTCGTGGAAGATGCCGAAGTCGAAGGACTCGTGGCGTCGGACGTAGTCGAGCATGTGTTCCACCTCCCGCAGCCAACGCTGCGGCACCAGCAGATTGCTGAAGCTGGGGTGGAAAATGAGGTCACATTCCGGCAACATGAAGATCACCTCCAATAAGGGATGCTCCAGGGCGTCGTCGCGCAGGGTGCTCGAATCGTCCCCCACCTCCATTGCTGTCTCCTTCCTTGTCCGCCGGGCAGAGAAAGCGAGTAGAGGTGGAGTTGGTGGAACCAGAGTTGACTCGGAGTCAAAATTAGATATTCCTACGGCGACCAGAGGTCAAAATTAGTCCGATCTCATGAAATATGAAATATTAATGAAAAAATATATAGTCATATTGTACTATAATCAAGAGATAATTTATATTTGATGAAAAATTCTCAATAATTTTATAAAATATTAAAATTTAAACATTAAAAAATCCCTTACCTAAAGTCAAAGATGATCGTCAATCTTTCTCCATGATCGAATTTTTCTACGACCAAGAAAGATGATAAAATGAAAGAATTTTATTGGTATATATAGGGGATGCGAAGGGCTCTTAAAAGGATATACAATTTTAATTTTAATTTATATATAATTTTGACTGAGAATAATTATACTATATATTTTTTGGAATATTAAGATAGGAAAGCAACAAGATTAAAAATCCTAATAAGGATAGGCGATTTACCATAGAAAGAACCAAAGGGACAAAATTCTTCTCTAGAAATTGTATTACATAATTTGACTAATTGATAAGATAAGAGAAGAAAATAATACTTACCTAATTGATAAGAATGGGACTATGTGAGAGAAAATAAAATATATATATATCTGAAAACAAATCCTCACACAATGCATTTTAGCACTATACACAATTTTCCAAGCTTGTCTTCTTTCTAAAACTATCTCCATCTATACACTATTTAATTAGGTCATGATTATACTTAGCTAGACAACTTAACACATTGCAGTACAATAAAAATGATCCATTAAGTTCATTTTCCAACACTAGTTGGAAATTTGTGACTACAACTTTAGGAGGAGCATTCAAAGGTTACTATAACTTTTTTTTCTTCATTTTATGTGTCCTAATCTATCATTTTATGAATCCTCCTATATATCCAACAAAAGTGGAGTTTAATTTATAATTAAGCTATAATAATAAAAAATCAAAAATAATAAAAACTCGATACATAGTAACACAATCTGAGAAATAGATCTCAATCAATAATTTTACTGTATGAATATCAATCAAAAATAAAATTAGGAACATGTAAAATATTTTCTTGAGTCAAACGAAACCCTAACAATCATAATTAATTATTATTTACTTAAAATTTTTAATTTTTATCTTGAAACTAATTAAAGCATAAAAAAATATCTTAAGAACCTCATTCGAACTCTATCTTTTGTCGCATCATCTTTCCTATGCATGTAGATAATCAAGTGTATTTTGATATTCTGAATGTTTACTGCATCACTTTAAGTATAAAATGATTATGTCTGTTATAATAATCAATTATTAGCAATCAAATCCTCCCTATGGGTAATTTTTTTTCTTTGAACTGTGATCTTTAAATAATTATCTTAAAGCCCCACCAAAAGTTAAGAAAGCCAAGGAAAAGATTAAACCCATTAGTACTATAACTGCAGCTTTCTTTTCCACAGCATTGAAGGACAGTAAGGAAGCATCAAAAGTTACTGTAAACCATTTCACCAACCACAAGATGGAGCTAATTTGTTGCTCATCAAAAGGTAGGAAAACAAGCTCTTTAGTTCCCTCATAATCTACATAGTTGAACCCCTAATTAGAAGGAACCAACTAACATGAAACATTATGGCATATAGTCGTATTATAATCAAGAAATAATAATTTATAATTGATAAAAAAAATTTATAAAATTTTAAAATTTAAATAAATCACAAGAAAATCATTCCACATACTCTAGATAAAGTGTCCTTATGATCGCGGTAGAATTCTTCTACAATCAACAAGAAAGGAAGAATTTTAATGGTATATATGGGGGATATCGAGGGTAATTTTTATTTTTGTTTTTGTTAAATTTTTACTAAGAATAATTAAATTATGTCTTGTTTGGAATATATCAAGATAGGAAATGCAACTATGTACTGATTAAGGATAGATGATATAGAAGATAAATAAATATATTTTAGTTAATAAATATTAAAAGTTAATTACTGAGGTTACAACTTATTACTCCATGTCATATGGGACAAAATGGGTGTCATCAATCACACCAACTGCATAGTAACATGCAGATGTATCTAATAACATATCAGATGTATGATTCAAATCAAATTAATGAATATTCTTTTCAAACTCATAGAGTTTTGAGACCATAGGAAGAACTAAAGCAATAGTTTTTATGTTGATTCAAGGCATATCAAAATTATTCTTTGCATTCATCTAAGTATGGTGTTAAGAAATTTTAAGCGAGTCTGATTCACAATACACTAACCTTGTAAAACTACATTAGAGGCATGTCGTTAAATCCTATCAAAGCTTAAGTTAATTTTTGATTTATTGATTTCGACTAAATATCGAATCTTTAAGAGTCAAGAATGTAGTAAAGAATCAAATGCTCATATAATGCATTATATGCATTCGATGTCGTAGTTTAAAGCCAATAATATTATGTGCATCCTCCAGCATTATTGTAATTATATTTGTGTCGAATCTAAAGGATATTACGTGGTCATAAGTGCAGTTATAATATCTAAAGGGCAAAATCGTATCAACCACATGATAGTGAGGCAATAATTATGTGGTGTTGAGGTATTGACCTCATGATTTTGAAATATCAGCTACGCGATACTGATGTATCAACCTTGTGGCACTAAGGTGTTACTCATGTAGTATTAATATGTCGACAATCCTTCTTATATCATTATTCTCTTATCACTTGTCCCCTATTGTGCCTAGTGAAACGGGACATAACAAAAATTTTATTTAATTATCGACCATGAGGAGTATAATTTAACTTAGTATCAAAAAAATGCTTTAGGCTAATTGAAAGTGTTGCTTTGGCTGATTAATCATATTATCATTGAAAAATATGCTTTTGATCAGTCACATAATTACAGGAAAAAGATTTTGGGTCGTTCGATCATATTGTCATCCAAAAGAGTCCTTTGGGTTGATTCTATTATAATATCATCAAAAAGAGTACTTTGAGCTATTTCAATTGTATTATCATCGAAAGAGTGCTTTGACTATTTTGACTATAACATCATCAAAAAGAGAATTTTTGATGATTTGATCACGTTGTTAGAGTTGAGATGTCGATCGATTCGATAGAGTTATACTACTTACGACTCTTTTATCATCAATGGAGTTAGACCACATGGCGAATCTACTTATATATTTATCCTTATGTTTGAGGCATCATTATTGCCTCAATTTCCTTTAGGCATGCCATTTCATGAGTTGCATTGAATCCGATCTGATACAATTCTTGATATCTCATAAATGATAACCTAGCATCCTCCATATATAATAAATTATAGCATTACAAGTGATGATCCACCAAACCATCAAAGATCCAAAATGATAGTAGTCCTAGCTTGGGATCATTCTTGCCCAACTAGATGCTACCAACTAAATGAATAGATTAATGATGGTACTCCAAGTATCATTCAAGCTCTATAAATAGTGGACTTGGCTCATTCGATGACTCAAAACATTCGAGACATTTTGATTCGATCTATTTAGAGAACTTCAAACTTTCTCTCACATGATTTAAATGATTTTTGGCTCATCCTCCTCTTTTAATGGTCGGGACCCGAATGTGTCACTAATTCAATAAGAAAAATTTATTCTTCATTTGAAGGATCAAAGTTAATATTTCTAGAATGCTTATTCCCTCGTAGAGTGTGGTTTCTTAGTTCTGAATAGAATTCTCTAACTTTCCACCTTAGAGGATTTTAGAAAAGTCTTCTACATCTTAGCCAAGTTGATAGTTATGCATCTAATGATAGTAGGTTAGGTGGGAAGAAATAAAAAAAATTTCGATAGAAAATCCTTACACAATGCATTTTAACACTATACACTATTTTCCAACTTTTATCTCTTTTCCAAAAATATCTCCATTTACATGTTACACAATTATGTTATAATTATACTAACTTAGACGACTTAATATGTTCCATTACAATAAAAATGATTGATTAAGTTTATTTTCTGACAGTAATTTTTTAATATAATTTTGTGAAATCAAGGATGACCATTCAAAGCTATCCTAATCTACCAATCAAAACTAAGTCATCCAAGGCTCTTATGAGTCCTATATATCATAGTTATGAAAGTCATTAACAGACTAAACTCATTAGTACTATAAGTGAGTCTCAACATAATCTATAAGTGATAAGTCAATAATTTGTCGTCATTGATGTCAATCCGTAAACTCACGAGAAATTATACAATTATACGTATGAGATATTTTTAAGAATAAATCGATTAGACAAACTTATAATTTTTTGATTCTCCTACAATAACATACGACTAAATGTCCTTATCAGCTTTCTTTTCCACAGCATTGAAGGACAATAAGGAAGCATTAAAAGTTACTGTAAACCATTTCACCAACAGCAGCTGCAGTACTCAGCACAAGATGGAGTAAATTTCTTGCTCATCAAAAGGAAGAAAAAGAAGCTCTTTAATTCCCTCATAATCTACATAGTTTTTCCCCTGATTAGAAGGGACGAACCAACAAAGGATCAAGAAATAGGACTTGGTCACATAGCACTCCCACACTGCACTCCTGACATTGTTCATGTGCTGCTGCTACCCAACAAGCTCGATCATGCCTCACTGAACTCAAAGCAGCCCATCACTGTCTCCCAATTACTGTCCATGCTCCAAGTATCTGCAGGCGGTGATGTGTTCATGATCTCCTGCCATGATAGTTCCGAGATGGACAAACGGGTTGTGTCATCTCGATCGCCAACCGAGGAGGGGCTACTGGTTTGGCTCTGGTTGGCAGCGGTGGCGGTGGACGGAGGAGGAGGAAGAAGATGTCGGCTGGATCGTGAGCCCTCGAAGGAAGCTTCCTCCTTCGGAGCAGACTCCATCGCGAACGCAATGCTCGCACCCATGGATCTGCATGTGTGCTGCATACTGTACGCCACGATGAACTGTGGTGGGTATGCATCGCCGTCCTCCTGTTGCACTGTCTTGGTCGCAGGGCATCCCTGCTCTTTTCGGTGAATGCACCTGTAGTAGCTCCTGGTGACAACATGACAAGATCCATTCACAAGATGAGCAGTGGGAAATCCGAGACACGTTTAGGTGCGATGGCCATGGGCTACCTTGGGTATTTGGCACTGTTTATATCCTTCTGCCCGTACTTTCTCCAGCTATGTCCATCATCATATGGAACAGATGTCACTGTGCACCATGTGTTGTGTGTCTTCCTGCAGTAAAGTTGGAATCAGAGGAGAAGCTCATTCGTGATCGTGTTAGGTATGGTAGTCTACCTTCTCTTGTGTCCGAGAGGCGTGCATCTGCCTCTCTTCTCCGAAGAGTACTCTCTGCTTCTTTGGCCGACGCCATGGCAAGTTCGACAGCAGCAGGACTGCAGCCTGGAGAGAGCTGAGGCGGAGCACTTCATTAGCTTGTCGAGAATCTCCCGCGCCAGCTCCGCCGAGCTTCCCGCCGGCAGCGACGACGACAGAAGAACAGCCCGCAGCTGCCTCGCCAGCTCGTGCGCTTGGTTGATCTTGTCGATGGCCAGCCGGTTGTCACAGTGTTCCGAGTTGGAATCGAGCTCCGCGTGCCGCCCCATCCCTGGCGAACAAGCTTGGCGGCCAAGCAGTGAGAGAGCAATTGTCTCTTTATATGCAAGCATCCAAGAGGTGCATGAGTTGGTGGCCATTAATGACCCACCTGCTGCGTCATTTCCACTCCCTGTTCTCCGTTGATGGAAGATTAGAAGCAGCTCAAGAAAGCAATGGTTGGTTGCTTCTCACAAGTACACAGTGATTTGGGGTTCCAGAGAGTAAGAAGGTGCAGTCATCTCTGAGAATGACGACGCTTCTCTATCTGAACTTGCCCATCAGATGCGTCTGCGACGAAGTTGCAGGAGACGGATAAGGACATAAACATGGCTATCATGCGCTGCATACATAAACATGAAGGGGATCATGAGGTGAAGAGTCTCCGAGAAAGCCACCATGTGTTGAGACTTCATATCTGCCATTTAATGCCACCTACTAGTATTGAAGATGGAGAGAGAGAGAGAGAGAGAGAGAGAGAGAGAGAGAGAGGCTGTGTCCAAAACTCTTCTCTACAACATAACAGATAAAGGCGAATTCAATAAAGAAATGCTAATCTTTTTTTTTATTTTTGGAAAATTACCTTCGATTTCTAAATTTTTCATACAGTATTTTTTTTAATATCTTAAATATTATCAATCACCTATGTATTTTTTTAATCTATTTCTCATTTTTTTTTCCTTGTGGACTTATCCATATTGTGAACCAGCTATAATATTTTTACACTATATAATATGTCTTTGATAATACTAGAAAAACACTATAACATAATATATATATTTATTATAATATTTTTTGAAAATAAAAAATTATGTTATAATATTTTTATACTAAAAAAAATTACAAACGTCATATTTTTATATTATGTTTTAGTGTTTTTCCAGTATCACTGTAAATATAATAATATAGTATAAAAACATGTTAACGGAACCGATTCACCAATAAATTAATAAAAAAAAATCGAAGTATTAAGAAAAATATATTATTTAGAAATTCTAAAAATCAAGGATGCTTCTCGAGAAAAATCCAAAAAAAATAGTTTATTTTCCTAAACAAATAGACAAGAAAAAGATGAATCATGCAGCATGCTCAAGCGGTTATAGAAAATTATAAGAAATCGTAGACCGGTTCGTCCTATTCATATATTCACGATCAAGAGATATTGGATTCCCCGGTTCCATTGCTATCGCGGGCCTTACGCAATCGATCAGTAAAAAATCACAACTTATAGCTATTTGTACTAAAAAATAAGTGTAGTCATCGACTCCCAGGAAAGGGTAGAAGAATGTAACAGGATTCATATGCATATAGTTCTAACTATGTTTATCGGACTCTATTTATTAACGATTAGGAATGGTACATGATTTGAGTTCAGAACATCGTGAGACAATTCGATCCAATAAATATCCTAGTTCTACCCTATCTTTTGTTTCATTTCTTCTGGAACAATCACAAAAACTGATCCATCGTCATCAGTCTTAAAATAATCGTAAAGAAGATGAAATAAAACAAAAGGCTTTTATCATCTATCAACTTCGCCTCCCCCACCTCTTTTTTCTTTTTTTTTTAGATTAAGCGTTGGAAAATTTAGAAGCATCTAAGATGTTACCATTAGACAACCACCTGCTTTAATGCTCACCTAAGCTCGTGACTGCTTTTGACCACACTGTTCTCGTTCCTCTTGCCGTCACCAAAGCTTAACACACTAAACAGGCAGACAAAAGAGGATTCAAATGCCTCTTAATTATGCTCTTATCGACGGCAAACAGTCTCGTCGGCCTTTCTATCACCTACGACTTCAATGTCGATGTACGACTCCTCTCTGATGTGGTGATCTCACCAAACACTGATGTGAGATCCTTCGTAGGATTGACCGATGACCTACAAAATCCACAGTGGGTGGGATTTATTCTTAGTGCATGGAAACTAACATCAAAGCTCCTCTCCTCCTTCTGTTTCCATTTAGCATTTCTTTGCGTTTAATGTCGCCAACGATACTTACTCGCATTGATTCCATTCCAGAACGATGAGCTCATGAACGCCAAGGACTGCTGAGGTCACGACTTGGGACAGGAATGACGGCACGAGGTCGTGACGTCAGGGTCTGTGTCGGCACAGTACAAAATGGATTATTGGATGACCCCATCGTTGTCTCGTGCTTTGTTGTCATCGCCGTGACCGTCGCTTCAGGAACGACTGTCGGTACGAGCCCTCTACGTCGACAACTCGTGTCTTATCGCCGGCATCAACCATGGCACGTTGCATTTTTAACTTATATATCGAGTGTGGTTTTCTGAGCTTCTAATCTTTACTCCACTCGTCATGATGTGAATTTTAATTTTAATCCATAATTACGATAATTAAATACAACAAAGAATTGTCTTTTATCTTTCCATAATTACTACTAAAGAGAAACCCTATAAACACTAATATTTTCTAACACTTTTTCCATCAAAACTAAAAATACATGAATTATTTATACAATAGCATAATATTAATTCTCGGTGTTTCTTTCTTTAACATAGAATTCTTTTACAAGTTTGCATTCATTGTCCAAAAATACCAAATCACTATATATTACGAGTAAATTTACAAACTAAAATATCGAATATGTTGTACATTAAAGTTGAATTCAAATACCTTTGTTGAATATTCGTCTTTTATTACTCGTCTTGTCATGATACTATTTATTTTTCTCTAATAATCAATCAAATATTTTATATTTTTTATTATTGAATATTAGATATTAAAATATTTACTCGAAATCTTATTATTCATTTAGGAACTAACTAAAATATTAAAGAGATCTTATTGGGTACCCCATCATCTAACAAATATTCAAGCCTCTCGTTCAATTTAATCGATCATCCTCACATATTCAAATGAACAAAAAATAATAATAATAATAATGTAATCGATCATCAACCCAAAACGACATATGATTTTTTTTTTGTATGCACAAATGTTTGCAAGTAAATTACTTACCATAAAAAGATCGAAGCAGCCAAAATTCTTGCCAATTTAGTGCATAAATATCTTCAAATATTTTTGGGATAAAGTTAATAGAACTATATATTATCTACTCGTGAACTGTTTGAGGACTACGTAACCGATTACCTGCGTTTTGATTGGTGCAGCAAAGACCTGGAACGGGACCCGCTGTTTCCACATCTTTCGTCCAATTGCGATGCTGGTACCTGTTGCAGGTGCGTGACTCTCGGTAGGAAAGCTCCTACCGTTTCCTACCACGCTATCATCTTCCACAAAAGTTCATCACGAGATGCAGGGGATACACGTGGCATCACGTAATCCGTCCGTTGTATACCCCAATTCCGAAAGAGATACGCCGCGATCTCTTTATCGGCTTCCAAAGGAGCGTGCGCTCGCTTTCGTTCACCGCCCCAAATCTTTCCCACCTGCGAGCGAACTCGCCAAGGCGGAGCGATTTCGAGGGATTGCCGTCCCGATCTGCCGATCTCCCCATCCTTCGGCATATCTTTACCAAAGTAACCGTCCTTTGGTAGGTCGTTTCCTCCCTTCGTTGTTTGATTTTTTTTGGGCGTGGGGGAAAAATCCATGGACAAAGAGATGCTCGAGACCTTCGAGGCCGCGAAGAAGGCCGCCGACGTGGCGGCGGAGGCCGGAGGCGGGTCGCCTGAGGTGGATCGGTGCCTGGACGCGCTGAAGCGGTTGAGGAGTCTGCCCGTCACGACGCAGGATCTTGTGGAAACCCAGGTGATGTATTCTTATCATGTTTCTTCATCTTACTTTTACGCTTCTTTGAAAGATTTTATTTATGTTGGCTCTTTGGATTATCAGTATGGTGTGATCTTGTTTTTAGTCGAGGAAAATTGATATCTTTCTCATGTTTTTGATGCTGATGTTAGCCATTGCAGTTGTTTGGTCAGAGTTGTATTGCGATGCTTGATGAAATTATTTCATAGAAAGGACTAGTCTTCTCTTCTCTTCTTTTCTTTTATTTTCTTTTGTTGCAGATGATGCAAACTGCTTGGTTTTTGGCCATCATTTATGGTGGAAAAAAAAATTAAGTTATTAATTTACTGAATTGTATTCTTCTATTGCTGCAATCTCTTGCCTTATTATATTCATCTTCTTTTGGTATGTGTTTTCGGATTCATTGCTTGTCTGGGAACCATTATGTCTTTTAGGCACTGAGTAGAATATACAAAGTTAGCTTATAACTAAAACTAAATTACCAACGAGCACATGAACTATAAGTGTGTCAAAAAATATAAGAAATTTATGGTCTAAGAAACAAGTATAAGTAGAAGATAGCAACAACAAGAAAAGAAAAGGATAAAAATGTTCCTGTATAATGGCAGCAGTTGAACAATTGTCGCATCCACGTGGAACAAGACTTTCATTCATGCCAAATTGATTCACAATATCTTTCCAGTTAGTTCCTATTTAACAAATATATTATATAACAAGTTCAATGAGAAGTGGCCATTTGACAATGCAACATATAAGAACCAATTTGTGGTAGGGATTTTAAAGTTGCATAGATGCTAATTGTTTGTTTTCTGGTTGGCATGTAGGTAGTTTTTCCTTCAGGAAGTAACACATAAACTAGATAAGCTTTCCTGTGGGATGCGGTTCCACTTGTAGTTAACAAAACATCAACCTAACATCAAATGTTGGTCGCACATCCGCTGTCTTTGGCCACCATATTGGGTGCCATTTATCATCATGTTATTGCTCATTTCAAGGTACAAGAGAAAGAGATGGAAAAATAGAGTGGGAGAGACAGAGAGCACAACATGGACAAGGAGATGGAGAACTGAGACTAAGTACAGTTGTTTTCGCATATTTTAGCCCTCTACTATTTGAAATATCGAAAAAAAAGTTCTGTAAAATGTAATATTTAACCATCCATATTGGATGGTATTTTCTTCCTTTTTTCTATATCTTCAATCCCTTTTGGGTTTTCTTTCATTATTCAGTTTAACATCATCTTTTTTGCTTAATTCCAATTATAGATTGTGATATGGGTATGAAATCCACTATAGTTCCTGGTACCAATATTT